TGACCCCAGGCCGCCTCGCCACAAGCCCGGCGGAGGCACCCTGAAGACCTGGAGTGTTGCTGACGCATGCACTGGGGCAGCACGGCCGGCCGCGAGGCTGTGCTGTGTGGCCCGTCGCTGGGAACCTTGAGCTCCGCCATCTCAGATGGCGTCTCCATGCCTGCCTGCAGCCCAGGGCCCCGGGGTACAGCGTGCTGACCACCACCCCTCCCGGGAGGCCCTCCTCCTGCAGTGGTCTCCGTTTCCATGAGTCCAGGGCGTCCCCCGACTTGAGGGCTCAGATCCAGGCTTTAGTAGGGCTGGGTTGGGGGAGGTAGGGGGAGGGGGGAACAGAGCCGCCTCAGGGAGGCCGGAGGGCAGAGCAGGGGGCCATCTGGGGCCGACCGGAGCGGGGAGAGGCAGACATGGCTTCCCCCTCATCACATCCTTATTCAGAGCCGGCAGGTTCTCCGCCCTGGTGGTGGGGGCAGGACCGCTGGGGCGTCAGGGCTGGGCAGAGTGTGGCCAGCCTCCTCCTGTAGCCCCTGCTCACACTCCCCCACCCTGGCCCCCGCAGCGTGGACCTGGTCCATGCCCAGATCCACGTGGCCGAGGGCCGCAGCCTGCCGGACCTGGGCCTGCGGCAGGAAAACATCAGCATCAACGGCTGCGCCATCCAGTGCCGCGTCACCACCGAGGACCCCGCGCGCAGCTTCCAGCCGGACACCGGCCGCATCGAGGTAGGCGGGGCGTGCGCCGCAGCCCGGGCCCGTGTCCTCCAGCCCTTCCGGGGGCCTCGCTGGGCTGGGCTCAAGCCAGGAGCAGGCCCCGTCCACGGTGAGGGCAGCACACGGGCACGGCCGCGCCTGGTGCCGGGGGTCGGCCAGTGGCCGCGTGGCACGGGAGCATGCGCGAGGGAAGCCAAAGGGGGTCCCCAGAAAGGAAGCCCAGGCCCTTCCTCCCAGGGCAGCCCAAGCCTCGGTGCTCAATGGGCGGTGCTGGCCTGGGTGCCGCCTCGGGTCAGAGGGAGGGTGCTGGCAGGCGGGACCCAAGGGTGTCACAAAGGATTGAGCCAGCAGCCCAGTGATAGGGGCCAGCTGAGTGCAGGGGCCGTCCAGGAGTGAGGGAGTTGGGGAGACCTGAAGGAGACCCAGAGGCCACTCAGGGCTGCCAGAGGCTGAGGGTGGCGTAGAGTAAGGTTGGGGGCAACCAGGGCAGGCCCCCCACAGGGTCCTGTGCCTCCCCAGGGTGTTTACCGTCTGCCTCTTCTCTCAGCCAGCGATACCCCAAAGCCATTGCTTGCCCCCTCACCCCCCCAGGCCTAGGGCCCAGTTCCCTGGCCCTCTGTCCCACGCCAGCTAAGAATACCTGGGCCCTGCTGGTCTGCCGCCCCCCATCTGTCTGCGCCTCCAGGAAGCAGGGCGGGAGCTGAGCTCGGCTTCTGCCCCGGGGGACCGTGTGAGACACTCGGGGCTCCCGGGGGCTCCCGCACACGCAGTGGCCCTGGGCGGTAGGGGAGGAGCCTGAAGGGCGAAGGGAGCTGGTCGGCGGAGCAGAGACTCTCTGGATCCTGTTTCTGGAACAATCCCAGTCTAGGTGGGGGAGCCCCAAGCCGAGAGCTGTCCTGCGGCTCCCCTCCCCCCATCTCCGCCCTGCGACCTGCCTGCCTCGGCCTCCTCTCCCGAGGCCCGGCGCCTCCGAGCCCGGCTCACCGCGCAGTATTTTCAGCCGGCAGTTCCTGCTCACGGCTGAGTGTTCACCCTTAAATATTTTATTAAGTTCCTTTTTATCGAACGCGGGTCTGTGTCCCTTTGAAGCAGAACGTAGCCGGGGGGTCCAAGCCCCGGCTGCCCCTCCTGCTCCCCAACTCCTTGCCTGTGCCCCTGTCCTGGGCGCGGTGCTCCCTGCTGGGGCCTTCCTGTGTTAGTGCTGGTCACTCCCAGGACACCCCAGATCTCAGCCGTGGCTGTCTCCCCCGTCTGTCCCCAGGAGTCGCCCCTGCACTTGGGTCCACACCCGCCGCTGCTCCTCCCTGAGCCTCTCCTGCCCACCTGCCCGCTCCTCCCTCCGCCTCCCTTCACCCCTCTGGAGGCTCCCGACCCTGCGGGGCACCGGGGCCTTCCCAGCCACGAATATGCCGGACGGCTCCCAGCTCGCCGGCCCCTGCCCCGCTGCTGCCCGGCCTCCCCGCCCGCGTGTGTCCCTGTCCGCCAGCTGCGGGTGGGCAGGACGGCCGCGGGCACACCGGCCGGCGGGGTGGGTGATGAGCAGATGAACGAGCCTGGGGCGGGAGAGCTGGCAGGGCAGACGTCGGGAGGTCGCTGTGAGCAGGTCCTGCCGGCCCTGGACCCCATCAGCCCCAAGCGTTGGACACAGAGCCCTGGGGCTGGTGGCATCTCCCCGGGCGCTGCCCCTGCGGCTCCTCTGGGGAGGCAGAGGCCGCGAAGGGACGGCACTTACAAGGCTGCGCCCCTGGGTCTCAGACACACACCGAGCGGAGCTTCGCCAGCCAGAGCGGGGCCGTGCCCTCGAGGGCGTCTGCGCCCGCCAGCCCGGGCCACCTGGCCTGACCCCTCGCCCCTCCCGCAGGTGTTCCGGAGCGGGGAGGGCATGGGCATCCGCCTGGACAACGCCTCTGCCTTCCAAGGAGCCGTCATCTCGCCCCACTACGACTCCCTGCTCGTCAAAGTCATCGCGCACGGCAAGGACCACCCCACGGCCGCCACCAAGATGAGCAGGGCCCTGGCCGAGTTCCGCGTGCGGGGCGTGAAGGTGAGCGCGTGGGCCGGTGCCCCTGGCCCTCCCCGCCCCGCTCACGGGGCCCTCCGGTGCTCCCCGCTCTGCTGGACCCGAGCACCTCGGACGCTGGGGGCAGGCGCCTGCCAATGGCCTCCTGTCGGGTCCGGCGGGGAGCCCCAGCCTCCTTCCTGCCCCCCTAGACCACGCGGCGTTGTGCTAAGTCCACGTCCACCCGGCCTCCTTCCGGGTTCCCCGATCCCACAGGTTGGGTGGGGGCCCCGGAGCCGGTTTTGGACGAGCTCTTAATTTCAGGAGTGTGGTCACCTCGGGTGAGGGCCCCTGCCAGGATGAGGTCACTTGGCACAAAGTCAGACGCTCCCTGGCCTGGACTTGCAACTAGGGGCAGCTGGGCCAGCTGGGGCAGCTGGGGAGGGCCAGGAGCAGGAGGTGCCGGGACAGAGGGAAGCAGAGGCCCTGCCTGACCGGGACCTGAAATGCCTGCTGGCCCGGGGGGCCTGGGCCCGCGTCCGGAGCTGGAGAGGAACGCACAGCCGCATGCTGTCGTGTCTCCGACCCGCTCCGCCTCTGCCGTGGGCATCGCCGGGCAGACGCCGCCCGGCTGTCTCTGGGCCGCCGCAGCCCTGCCTGTGGTCCGGCTGGGGTGGGGCATGCGCCATACCCCCTCCTGGCGGCCTGTGGCCAGTCCCCACCTGTCGACCTGCCGCGTGGCCCAGCAGCCTGCGGTGCAGCAGCCTTTAGAAAAGCGTGCAGGCGGGGGTGGGCACCGTTCCCCAGTGTGAGGCCCGGAGGGGGGTCTCTGTTCTTCCCCGGCACGCCTGCCCTCACCTACCCCACACAGTGCCCAGGCCAGCGTGTGCCCCAGCGGGCAGCCTGGCTACCCACACCGCCCGCCCATCCTGTCGTTCCGCGTTGTCCTGGTTGGTGACCCCGCGGGCCCCTGTGGCGGTGCCCAGTTCCTCTGCTCCCCCAGCACCCAGTTCCCACCTGTGTGTCCCACTGGTGCCCAAGGGCACAGGCCCCTGCACCTGTCTTGTACCCACACCCACTGTCCTCTGGCCCTGCGGCTTAGTGAGACTAGGGCTATGGGGGCCGCGAGGAGGATGGGTCCCCCCCAAAACGTGCACCCAGACCAGCACTTGCTCAGCACCGCCCTTGCTGCCCTCTGCTCCTCGCCCCTTCCCACCCTGCACAACCCTGCCCTCCCCGCACCGCCCATCTGGTGCTCCTTCCTGCGCGCTATGAAGACCTTGTTTCACTTACACGCCTCAGCCACACCGGGGTCGGGATGCTGTGCAAACCCACAAGTGTGTGTGTGCAACCTGCACATGTATGCACACGCACCTCCCCACACCACCTCTCCGCAGGATGTCCGTACACGGGCCCTCAGCAGGTGTTCTGTGGCACCACTGCCCAGGCACCCCGGGCGGGTCCAGGCGCCAGCACCCCACTCCATAGGGGCCCAGGCAGCTGCATGCTGGGGCACCCCAGGTGCCCGGTGCAGGGTGGAGGCCCACCGTGCCTGCGAGTATGTCTGGGGCTCTGGCTCCTCCCCACCGCTGCCTGGGAGCAGCGACTGTTCAGAGCCTGGCGAGGCCATGCCTGGGCCGGGGGCCGGAGGGAACCCGGCCTGGGGCGGTGGAGCTGGGGTGTTGGCGGCCACCCCAGTGTCCAGCGAGGGGGCTTGACGCAGCCTTCCCAGACGAGCCTGAACAAAGCCATGGGTGTGCTGGTGGAGCAGCTGGGCCCAAGACCCTGTTCAGGCCTGCAGGAGGCTTCCAGAAGGTCTTCAAGGACAGCAGTGCAGTGGCACTCCCCGCCCCCGTGCCTGGGAATGGCGTTTCACCAACCCAGACCCCCGGCGGGTGGTGAGCAAGTGTGTTGCCAGCGGCAGCCCTGGCTCCCCTTGCCGAGCTGGGTCCTGCAGGTGCTGGCCTGGGTCCCTCTGCCAGGGGCTGCGCCACCGCCGCCCATGCCATGAGGACGCGGCATCCTGGCCATGGCCTGCCAGGCAGTGAGGACACAGGCAGTGCTCTCAGGCCCTCAGCCGCTCTGGGGCCGGGGTCACAGCTCAGGGGGCGCCGGGTATCCGGCACCGGGCTGCCAGACAGGTGAGGGGGCCAAGGGCTCCAGGCTGCTCCCCTGCCTCCACGTGGTGGGCAGCTTGGGCAGCTCCAGGCAGGACACCGCCCCAGGCCTCAGCCAGGTCCCACCCTCCCCTCGGGCCCAGCAGCAGGAGACCAGAGGCCAGCGTGGAGGCAGCCCCCCAGCTTTTATTATAAAGAAAAACAAGACTCCCGCTCGGTGGCTGCAGCCCCCCCTCAGTAGCCGGGAGCACCTGTCGGAGGGCGGCCCCGCACACCCCGAGGCCAGACTGGGGAAGGGCCCCTGTCCTGCCCGGCACGGAGGGGCCTGAGGTACCGGGGGTAAAGCCCGGAGAGGCTCCCAGGCAGTCCTGGCGCACGGGCCGAGGCCCCCCCACCCCACCCCGGGCCGGCTCGTCCCTTCACACCACACTCTCCTCCAGCCGCTCCGCGCTGCCCCCCACCCCCCGGCACCCTGCCCCGAGCAGCCCCCCGTGCACAGAGTGGCTCCGCCGGGCCCAGACCCCTCCGATGCGCCTGGCGTAACCGTAGCACCCGCCGGCGTCGCCCAGGTCCAAGGAGCAGCTGCGCTGGGGGCGCGGCGGGGGGCTCCGCGGCGGGTGGGTCTTGGGGGTGGGGCTGGGGCCGCCGTTGGTCTGAGACTGGACGTGGCTGAGCTTGAGGGGGAGGCGGCCGTTCCCAGCCCCCCGGCCCCGAACCAGCAAGGCCACGGTGAAGACCAGTAAGGCAGCCACCAGCACGCCCCCCACGGCCACCGTCAGGGTCCCGCCCAGCACGTGGGCCTGCAGGGCGTGGCACAGGGGCGTGGCCGGCAGCGTGGAGAAGTGGGCACAGCCCAGCAGCCGCGTGGCCGTGAGGTCGGAAGGCCCCGCGGCGGGCGACAAGGCCAGCAGGCAGAGGTCGTAGTCGGCCCCCGGGACCAGGTGCTTCAGCAGGAAGTGGTGGCTGGAGGCCGGGACGATCCTGCGGGCAAGGGTGGGCGGTCAGAACCGGACCGAGGCCCACCCGAGGGCGCAGGCAGGTGCGCCGCTGCCGCCGGCCCCCGCACCCCTGCGGCCTCCTCCCCGCGCCCCGCCCCGGGCGGCACATGCAGGAGCCGGGGGAGCGCAGGAGGGCGCGCGGCGCCAGGGCGGGCGGGCACCGGCGCAGCCTCACCTGTAGATGAGGGTCTCGTCCTCGCTGCTGTTGTACTGGATTTGGAACATCCACACCGGCTCCGCCGGCCGCCCCGGGCCCCAGCTCACCAGCCCCGAGGTGGCGGTGACCTCCGTCACCTGCACGGCGGGCTCCGACTCCAGCGTCCCCTCGCCCTCGGCGGCGGTGCGGGCCGAGGCTGCAATGTCCGAGGGCCCGGGGCGGCCGCCCTCGGCGCTGCCGTTCCCGCCGTGGGGCAGGGCCAGGACCCGCAGCTCCACTCGGGCGGTGGCCTCGCCGGCTGGGTTGGTGGCAATGCAGGTGTAGCCCCCCGCGTCCCCGGATCCCGTCACCCCAATCTCAAGGGTCCCGTTGGGGAAAGCCCGGGCGCGGGAGGAGTTGCCCACCAGCCGGTCGTCGGGGCCGACCCAGTGCATGGTGGGCGCAGGGTCGCCCAGGGCCCGGCACCGCAGCGTGGCCCGCTGGCCCTCCAGCACCCAGAGGCGCTGCGTGTGGCGGGCGATGAGGGGCGGCTCGCAGGAGAACTCGCCCTCGGGCACGGCCCAGAAGTAGCGGCCGGCCAGGCCGGGCGGGGAGGCGCAGGTCTCCAGGTCGTCGGGCCGTGCCAGCCGCCGCAGCCACAGCAGCTCGCAGTTGCAGTGCAGGGGGTTCCCGCTGAAGCTCAGCACCAGGGGGGCGGGCGAGGCCTCTGCGTCGCGCCCCCGAGAGAAGAGCGGCTCGGGGGCCAGCGTGGCCAGGCGGTTGGAGGTGAGGTCGAGGCGGGAGAGCTGGCCGAGCTGGGCGAAGGCGCCCGGGGGCAGCGCGTCGATGAGGTTGTGGTCGAGGTTGAGGGTGTGCAGCACGGGCATGGCCCCGATGCCCGCCCAGGGCACCTGCCGCAGGTTGTTGTAGGACAGGTCCAGGTCCTCCAGGCTGTCCAGGAAGTCGTCGAAGGCGCCGGGCGCGATGCGACCCAGCTGGTTGCCGCTGAGGATGAGGTGCTGCAGGTTGACGGGGCCGCGCAGGCTGCCGGGGCCCAGCTCCGCCAGCCGGTTGCCGTCCAGGTGCAGGGAGCGCAGGCTCTCCAGGTCCCCGAAGGCGCGGGCGCCGATGCGGGTGATGGCGTTGCGGGACAGCGTCAGGTCCACCAGCCCCGTCATGTTGCGGAAGTCGGGCGGCCCCAGGGCCTGGATGAAGTTGTCCGCCAGCCGCAGCTCCACCGTGCGCCGGTCCACGTTGGGCGGCACGAACAGCAGGCCCCGGTGCGCGCAGAGCGTGCTGAGCGACTCGGACAGGTTCTGGCAGACGCAGGGCAGCGGGCAGGCGGCCGCTCCACTGGCCAGCAGCAGCAGCAGGAGCGGCGGGGCCATGGTGAGCGGCCTGGGGGGCAGCACAGGGCAGGGGGGGCTGCTGCCCTGCACGCCGTGCCCGTGCCCCGCGCGGCCCAACTTCCCCGGCCCGGCCGGGGCGGGGTGGGGGGCAGGGCCGGAGGCCTCGACGGCCCGAGGGCAGGCGGGGCCCGCAGGGCCGGGCGCCCCGCGTGGAGGTCACATTCCCGGCAGTTCGGGGGAGGCCAGGCTCGGGGGCCCAGGTGAGGCGGGAGGCAGGAAGCGGAGGTGGGCACGGGAGCTGGGAGGGTCCCGGAACTTCCTTTCTCCGCGGCCCTGGCACCGGAGCCCGCCCGCCGCCCCCTCCCCCGCGCCCCCCCGCGGGCCGGCGCCCCGGCCCCTCCCGCCAGCGCCGCCCCTCCCGGCCGCCCCCCCCCGGCCGCCCCCCGCGGCCTCCTCACCTGGCGTCCGCAGCTCACGGGGCGCGGGCCGGCCTCCCCGCGGGCCCGGCCGGCCCCCGCCGAGTGCAGGCGGCTCCCCCGCGGGGGCGAGGCCGGGGGCTGACGGGCCGCCCGCCGCGTGCCCTCCGGCCCATGGCGCTCGGGCCCGCGGCCCCGGCTCGCTCGGCTCCGGCGCCCTTTCCGGCGGCGGCGCAGGAGGCGGCGGGCGGGCGGGCGGGGGCGCGCCGGGCGGGCGCGCGCGCCGCGGACACGCACGTGGGGCGCGGGCGGGGAGGGGCGCGGGGGCCCCGCGGGCCCGGGCCGGCTCCGAGGTCACGGGGACGCGCGGCCCCTGCCGCCCCCGGCGGCCCCGTCACGCCCGCGGCCCGGGCCGGCGCAGGCCCGAGGCGCAGCCCCCCGGCGCCGCCGCAGCGCCCCGCGCGCGCCCCCGGCCGCCCCGGCGCCCCGGCATCCCGCGCCGCCGCCCCTCCCGGGGACGGGCGTCTTTGTCCTGCGCCGCGGGCGCCCCCCGCACCCCGCCGGCCCCGCGCCCCCGCCGCGCCGCGCGCGGACCCGCCCGGCCGCCGGGCCCCTCGCGTCCGAGCCGCCCGCTGAAGGTCACGCCCGCTCCGCATCGCGAGTCACGTGCGGGGGCCCCGGCCCGCCCGGGCCCGTGGGAGCGGGGGCGACGCCCCCGGCCGGCGGCTGCGGGGTGGGGCCCGGGAGGGCTCGGCAGGCGCCGCCCCGCCCCCCGCGCGCCCCGCCCCGGCTCGGCCCGCGCCCCGGCCCCCGCCCCGGCCCCCGCCCCGGCCCGCGCGGCCCCTTCCCGGCAGCTGGCGGCGCACGCGGTGGAGGCTGCGCCTCGGCGGCCCTCGCGCGCCCGCGCCCGCCCCGGCCGGGCCGCCCCCCGGGAAGAGGCGCCCGGGACCGGCCCGGCGCGGCAGAGCGAGGGCTCCCCGCGGGCCGCCCCCGAGAGCCGGGCAGAGGGGGCCCCTGAGGGCCGCAACCGGGCGCGCGCCTCGCCCTTCCCCACGGTCCCCGGGCGCCTTCTGGTTCCCGGTTCCCTGGACAGCCCCTCCGCCACCCATTCCTCGGGGCTGGGCGGGGTGGGAACTGGGGAGCCGGAGGGGGGGCGCTGCCTGCCACCGCCGCCCGGGCCACCCTGGCCTAGAGGGGGTGACGGCACCGCCGCCCGGGATGCGGCCCGGCCGCCGAGGCCCCTCCTCCTGCCGCCCCGCCCGGGCCAGCTGCTGGCCTGCAGGGTGGAGGCGTCCGCTCCGGGCGCGGGGTGGCTCTGGCTCCCGCCCCCACGAGGCCCGTCCCCGCGACGGGCTCTGCCGCCGGCGTCCACCCTCCGCCCCCGCGCGGCGGCCCGGGGAGGTCAGGACCGCGGCGGCCCGCCCGCCGGACTTTTCCGCCACGGGAGAGGCAGGTGCGGCCGCGCGGAGGGCCCTTCTCGCCCCGGGCCGCGAGGGTGCCGGACGGTCCGCTGCCCCGCCTTGGCCGGCGGGACGTCCCCGTCTCCCGAGGAGGAGCCCGCCCTGGTCTCGGGCAGACCGTGGCCGCTCGGGCCGCCGGGAGCCCCGGCCTCTGGGCACAGGTGGACTCGGCAGCAACAGGGCCCGGCCGGCGCCAGGCCGGGAGCCCCGTGAAGGCGCCGGCGAGACAGAGCAGGCGAGCCGGGCGCCGGCTCTGAAGTGGCAGCTCACAGGGGGGGGACCAGGCGGCCGGCGCGCTGGACTCAGCCCTGCGGCCTGTCAGAGCATCTCTCATGGGGCAGCCGCCAGGCCCCAGGGGCGTCTAGTCCCGCCCCAGCCTCGTGCTTCACCCCGCTGCCCAGTGAGCGGAACTGAGGGCTCGAGCGCGGAAAGGAGCGGACAGTGACCTCAGCCAGCACCCGCCCCGCCCGCTCCCAGGCGAGGAACGCGAGGTCAAGGGCGGGGGAACTTGCCCACAGAAACTGCTAGAAAGGGGAGTAGCTGGCCCTGCAGAAGCGTGGGGGGTTCGCGCGGCCAGGGGGGCCGAGGCAGAGCCAGACCATGGTCCAAAGGTGCCGACACACAGTGGCCTCGCGTGAGGGGACCCGGGAAAAGGCCGGCGAGGGCGCGTGGGTTTACTCGCCGGGTCGCCAGTGAGGAGTCCCCAGAAGGGGGAGAGGGACGACGGGCAGGAGGGGAGCTGCTGTGGCTGGGTGAGCCCCCGAGGGACACACGGGGCGGAGCCCTGGGGGCGCGGGCAGTTCTGGGCGCTGACTGGAGCCGGAGGCCCAGGATGAGCCCAGCGGGGCGATGGGCTGTGAGGAGCGGCCGAGTGAGGCCCTGGACCCGCCCTCGGGGTCCTGCGGGGTCGAGGTGCGCTTGGCCGGGGCTGGGAGGTGCTGGTGGAGGCCCTGGGAGAGATGCGGGTGGGGGCTGGGGGCAGAGGGAGGCCGGGAAGGTGCCCTGGATCCAGCGGGGTGGCTCTGGGGTGTGCGCGTCGAGGGTAGGGGGCTGTGGAGAAGCAGGGCTGCGGGGTGAGGGTGGCTGCTCCACTCCTGCCCTGTGGGGAGGTGCTGGTTCTGGAAGCGCCAGGAAGGCAGGAGGGAGCAGCGGAGTCCCACCCACGCTGGGGCGAGGGGCGGGCGAGAGTGTGGGATCCTGGGGGGCTGTGCCGGCCCCGGTGCTGCCTCAGCCTCTCCCGGCCCGAGCCGCGCAGTGATGCCCGCGCCTGCCCCTGTCTTGCAGACCAACATCCCCTTCCTGCAGAACGTGCTCAACAACCAGCAGTTCCTGGCCGGCACCGTGGACACCCAGTTCATCGACGAGAACCCAGAGCTGTTCCAGCTGCGGCCTGCGCAGAACCGGGCCCAGAAGCTGCTGCACTACCTCGGTCTGGCTCGACGTGGCACTGCCCTCCCCCCACGGGCCTTGCTCCGCCCCGCCCCTCGGTGCAGCGGGACACACACACACACACACCCCCCCCACACACACACCCACCCCCTCCCCGGTTTGGTCCATGTGGCCCTAGTGGGCCTCCTTGGGCTGTGGGAGCACAGGGGCCAACCGGAGGACCGGGTGTCCTGGAGGCAGCCCCCACCCCGAGCCCACCCACTCTCCCCGCTGCCCTCGGCTCTGACCGCCCAGCCCGCCCTGACCCGCGCCCACTTTCTCCCCAGGACACGTTATGGTGAATGGCCCGACCACCCCGATTCCCGTCAAGGCCAGCCCCAGCCCCACAGACCCGATTGTCCCGGCGGTGCCCATAGGTAGGTGAGAGTCATCCTGCTAACTTGGGGGGACGCGCGGCCGCCACCCCCAGGTTGGGGGGTGCTCACGGTCCGTCGCCCTAGGCCCGCCCCCGGCTGGCTTCAGAGACATCCTCCTGCGCGAGGGCCCCGAGGGCTTCGCCAGAGCCGTGCGCCGCCACCCGGGGCTGCTGCTGATGGACACGACCTTCCGGGACGCCCACCAGTCGCTGCTGGCCACGCGCGTGCGAACCCACGACCTCAAGAAGATCGCCCCCTACGCGGCCCACAACTTCAGCAGACTCTTCAGCATGGAGAACTGGGGAGGTAGGACGCCCCGTGGGGCCCCCAGTGCGGCAGGCCCCCGGGGACCCGCCCGAGACGCTGGAGGTGTGGGCGCGAGGGGAACCAGGCGCTGGAGCCCACGCTGGCCGGGCGGGGGCGGCCCCAGGGCCGGGACCGGGGTGGACTGTGGTGGGGGGCGACGCCAGCCTGCTGGTTATAGCGCGGGATTGGGGGGGTCACAAGAGGGGTGCCGGGAGGGCCCGAGCCTGAACTGCCCCGAGACCCGCCGCGGGACGGCGGAGGCGGAGGGTGCGCGAGACGGGCAGAGCCCGGTGCTGGGGCCAGAGGCTCAGCCTGACCCCCTCCCCTGTCCCCGCCAGGAGCCACCTTCGACGTGGCCATGCGCTTCCTGTACGAGTGCCCCTGGCGGCGGCTCCAGGAGCTCCGGGAGCTCATCCCCAACATCCCCTTCCAGATGCTGCTCCGCGGGGCCAACGCCGTGGGCTACACCAACTACCCCGACAACGTGGTCTTCAAGTGAGCCGCGGGGGGGGGGGGCACCGCACGGAGGGGGCCGGGCCCCACGCAGCAGCCCGCGCCCCCCGCGGGCTCGAGACCCAGTCTCAGCAGCCGCGCTCAGCGAGCCGGGCCCGGGCAGCGGCGGCCCCGCGAGGGCAGGGGAGGGCAGGCGCCGGGCCGGGCCTGAGGTGTGGCGCTGGGGGCGCGACGGGCCCGGCCCCCGGGCTCTCTCCCACCAGGTTCTGCGAGGTGGCCAAGGAGAACGGCATGGACGTCTTCCGGGTCTTCGACTCCCTCAACTACCTGCCCAACCTGCTGCTGGGCATGGAGGCCGTGGGCAGCGCGGGCGGCGTGGTGGAGGCCGCCATCTCCTACACGGGCGACGTGGCCGACCCCAGCCGCACCAAGTACTCCCTGCGGTACTACATGGAGCTGGCCGAGGAGCTGGTGCGCGCGGGCACCCACATCCTGTGCATCAAGGTGCGTGGGCCCGCCAGGCCCCGGAGCCCCCGCCCGGCTGCCCTCCCTGCCGCGCGCCCTCACCGGCGCCCTCCTGCTCCCCCAGGACATGGCGGGGCTGCTGAAGCCCGCGGCCTGCACCATGCTGGTCAGCGCCCTGCGGGACCGCTTCCCCGACCTGCCGCTGCACATCCACACCCACGACACCTCGGGGGCCGGCGTGGCCGCCATGCTGGCCTGCGCCCAGGCCGGGGCGGATGTCGTGGACGTGGCAGCGGACGCCATGTCTGGGATGACGTCGCAGCCCAGCATGGGGGCCCTGGTGGCCTGTACCCGAGGGACGCCCCTGGACACAGGTAGGCCCGCCGGCGGCCCACGGCGCTTCCCCCGCAGCCCGGGCGCGTCGGGCACAGCCGCGCACCCAGCGATCCCGCCCCGCCCCCCCCCGGCCTGAGGGGCCCCACGCCCGCAGCGGGGGGGCCCCCCGGGAGCTCGGCCCCCGCCCCAGCCTCTGGCCTCCCGCAGGGGTGCCTCTGGAGCGCGTGTTTGACTACAGCGAGTACTGGGAGGGGGCCCGGGGGCTGTACTCGGCCTTCGACTGCACGGCCACCATGAAGGCGGGCAACTCGGACGTGTACGAGAACGAGATCCCCGGGGGCCAGTACACCAACCTGCACTTCCAGGCTCACAGCATGGGGCTGGGCGCCAAGTTCAAGGAGGTCAAGAAAGCCTACGTGGAGGCCAACCAGATGCTGGGCGACCTCATCAAGGTGAGCCGGCCCGGGGCGCCCGCGCCGCCCCCGGGGCCCCCACGCGGCGCGGGCGCCCCCACCCACGCGTCCTTCTCCTCAGGTGACGCCCTCCTCCAAGATCGTGGGCGACCTGGCCCAGTTCATGGTGCAGAACGGGCTGAGCCGGGCGGAGGCCGAGGCGCAGGCGGAGGAGCTGTCCTTCCCGCGCTCCGTGGTGGAGTTCCTGCAGGGCTACATCGGCACCCCGCACGGGGGCTTCCCGGAGCCCTTCCGCTCCAAGGTGGGCGCCGCCGGCCCGGAGGGAGGGAGGGAGGGAGGGAGGGAGCGTGGGCCGGGCGCGTCGGGCTGACCCTCGGCTTCCCCGCCAGGTGCTGAAGGACCTGCCGCGAGTGGAGGGCCGGCCGGGCGCGTCCCTGCCGCCCCTGGACCTGCAGGCGCTGGAGAAGGAGCTGACCCACAGGCACGGGGACGAGGTGACCCCGGAGGACGTGCTCTCAGCGGCCATGTACCCCGACGTCTTCACCCACTTCAAGGACTTCACCGCTACCTTCGGGCCCCTGGACAGCCTCAACACCCGCCTCTTCCTGCAGGGCCCCAAGATTGCGGAGGAGTTTGAGGTGAGTGGCGCGGGCACCTCTGCCCCCCGCACGGGCTCGGCCCGCAGAGCACCAGCGCTCACGCCTGCCTGGGGCCGCCGGGTGCTGGGAGGCTCGGGGCGCATAAAGCGCCTCCAGAGAGCAGGGAACTCGGCCTTCCCCAGCGAGCTGCAACCCAGGGTGGGAGACTCGCCGGGGCGGGGTCGGGGAGCTGCTCTGCTCCCGCCCCCACCCCAGCCCCCTCGGCCTCCCCGCAGGTGGAGCTGGAGCGGGGCAAGACGCTGCACATCAAGGCCTTGGCCATAAGTGACCTGAACCGCGCCGGCCAGAGGCAGGTCTTCTTCGAGCTCAACGGACAGCTGCGGTCGATTCTGGTCAAGGACACGCAGGCCATGAAGGTACAGCGCCCCCCCGGCCCGGCGGGGGGAGGGCTGGGGGTCAGGGAGCCTGGTCTCATGCCCCTCGCTCTCCCCCCCAGGAGATGCACTTCCACCCCAAGGCCCTCAAGGACGTGAAGGGCCAGATCGGGGCGCCCATGCCCGGGAAGGTGATCGACATCAAGGTGGCCACGGGGGCCAAGGTGGCCAAGGGCCAGCCCCTGTGCGTGCTCAGCGCCATGAAGATGGAGACCGTGGTCACCTCGCCCATGGACGGCACCATCCGCAAGATTCACGTGGCCAAGGACATGACGCTGGAGGGCGACGACCTCATCCTGGAGATCGAGTGATGTGGCCGCGGACTGGCCGCCTGGCCGTCCCCACCCCAGGCCTTCAACAGACACTGCGCTGCCAGGCGGGCCCAGGCCAGCCGGTGCCTGAGGCAGGAAGGCCTGGCCCCGGAGCTCCTGCCCTCGCTGCTGGGGCGGGGGAGGCTCCCGTGGCGGCCCGCCCTCCCCCCAGCCCGCTGTCCCCCCTACAGCGCACGGCCGTCCGCGTCTCCATCTCTTGCCAAATCAGGGGCCTCCCCTCGCCGGAGACGGCAGGTGGGGGTGCGGGCGGGGCCCGACCTCTGGACGGGGGAGCCCTAAGGCCCGGGGCCCGAGAACAGGCTCAATAAAGCTGCTTTCCCCGCCCTCAGCGGTGCGTCCCGTGACGCCCGCCCCAGCGCCGCTCCGCGGAGGCCGCCGCCGGGACGCGCGTGGGGGAAGGGCGGCCCGGCCTCCTCGAGGGTAGCGAGTGACGGCGGCGGCCCTGGCTCGAAGCGCCGCTCAGTGCCCGCGGTGCCCACACGGCACCAGCTGGTCTCGGGGGAGGCGCCTCGGCTACTCGAGGCACTGACCGTCCGTTAACACAAGACACCGACCATCGCGACGGGCCAAGCTCACCCCCAGGCTGCGACGGCCTCGCCTGCCAGTGACGCAGCTCTGCCTGCCTAACCCAGGGCCGGTCGCCCACGCAGTCAGGCGGGCCTGGGTGTGAACAGGAACCGCGCGGGAGGCGGGCCCGGCCTCAGGTGTGGGAAGCTCCGCAGTGAGGAAAGTGTGGACAGTTCGGGGCGGGATCGAGAGTCCCAGGGTGCAATCCTGCCCCTCCCCCGCAGCAGGGAGGCCCGGGTGGGACAGCAGCCCCCCCCAGCACTGCACTGCTGCCCTCTCCAGCCCCCCGTGCAGGAAGGTGGGGCTGGGCGTGAGCGCAAGGGGGGGATGCACAGCCCCAGAAGGGGCGAGGCAGCGCCCAGGTTTCTTAGACACCGGCCCTCCCAACCCCCCCCCCAGGGGCCAGGCAGCAAGTACCTCAACACCCTGGGGCGGGCCTGCACCTCTTCTTTGGACTGGAAAGGCCCAACTGCCCCCTCCGAAAGGCCCACGCCCAGCCTCTGCCTCCTGCACGGCTGCGGCGCCCGCGGGGGAGGACGGTGCCCGCGAGGTGGGGGTGACGCGGGACGCCCTCAGCGGCAGAGAGTAGCCCGCAGCGCCGCGGGGAACGTCTGTGCGTCCATTTCCTTCAGACGTCAGCTTCGGGGCGGGGGGCCGGGTGTACCTTGTCCGAGGGGCCGTGGGAATCACCAAGAAAAAAGACTCGCCGAGAGAAAACCGAGAACCATTCTGCAAACAAAAGGAAGAGCAGCTGGAACTCGCGCGGAGTCCAACACGTGCCCGAGGCCCTGCCGGCCGGAGACAGCTCTGGGGGGGCGGGGGCCGGGGAGCCTCGGCTCCAGGCGCCTCCTGACCCACGGCCCGTTGGGCGCCAGAAGAGCCGCTCCTGAGTGACTCTAAGCTGGTTCCACTTCCACTTTAGACATAGCTTCCCGTGATTTAGGGGGACTCGGGGGTGACCCCGCGAGACCCTCGGTGACCCTCCCACCCTCCCAAAGAACACAGGCTGGAGGCTCCCTCCCCGGGGGTGGGCTGGCCCCAGCCGGCGGAGGCCCACCCGTGTGAAACTCGGGGTGCGGCTCAGGCCCAAGACAGCCTGAGGGCGCCACCCTGTTTCCTACGCCAGGGCCAAGCAGGCCGACGCACCAGAGGTCAGGGTCCGGGCGGCGGGCACACCCCCAAGGCCCAGAGAGACCGATCCTCACAGGTCCAGGCCGTGTTACCCAAGTTAAATCTCTTTAATATCCCGATACAAAGTCCTAATGCAAAAAGACAGTGACAAAACCCTGGGAGACCGGGGGAGGGCCTTTCGTCAGTTCCGTCCCCGAGCAGCTTGTCAGAGCAGAGGCGGCACGGGGGCTGGAGAGGCAGCAGTCCCACGAGTGCACAGGCGTGCGCGGCTCCTGGGGCCTGCCCGTCCCCTCACCTCCAGCTGCGCCTCAACCCTCCTTCCAAGAGGGGCTGCGCCCTTCGGGTGTCTGCTCCTCTCTCTTGGTCCCTGCGAGTCCACTAGCTCTGGCTTCAATCCCCTAAAAAAATCCCTGAGAGCTCGGGGGCCCCGGCCAGCTCCTCCCCGGCAGTGGCCCTTGCCGGGGCGGGGGCGGGGGAGCCCATGAAGAGTTCGTGGAAGCGCGCAGGCGCGCGGGTCAGGAGCAGAGAGGGGCCTCGGAGCCTCCGGCCCGCCCCAAGAGCACGCAGAGGGGGAGGCTGCCATACAGCTTGGGGTCCGTGAGCGGCCGGAGCAGCAGCAGGAAGAGCCCCACGCCCAGGGCATAGCCGGCCAGCAGAGGCCGCCTCTGCGGGTGCTCCAGGGCCGCACAGACGGCGGGGAAGCCCATGTAATTGCAGAAGGAGTGACAGAGAACCGGCCCGATCAGGTGTCCTGGGAAGGGGAGACAGCAGCTCAAAGAGCAGTCCCACGACCGCCAGGGCCCTTCCGGGGCCAATAACCCTCAGCCCCGAGACCAGAGCCCAGCGCCCCGGCAGCCATGCTCGTCCACCCACGCGCCACAGCCTCTGCCTCCAGCCACTCAGGCGGCACCAGGCCGAGGGCCCGGCTCCGCCTACCACAGGGATGGCGGGAAGAGAACCTGTCGCCCCTAGAACACACACAGTCTCCCCATTCTCCCGCCCTTGCCTGTGGGCCCGAGCCCCCAGGAACCCGTGAGAGACTGAGGACCAACCTGTGCGGATGAAGAGGAAAGCAGTGTAGGCACCGAAGACGGCTGTGTAGGAGAACTGGAACGCTGGGGACGGGGAGGCCGCGAGTGACCACACCTGCATGCCCTTCCTACCCCGGCGCTGCTCCCGTCAGCCAGGGACACCCCCTTCCCCGGGGGCGGCGCGAACTGCCCTGGCACCTATGGTTGTCCTCTGCACCCCAATTCCCATGGTTAGAGGCCCCCCTAATACTGCAAGCCTCTGTTCCCAATGCTTCCTCCAGAGGAGCTACAAAAGACACCCTCCCACGCCCCAACCCACGACTGCCCCAGGCAAGCGCTTCAGGACTCACCTGCAGACAAGAAGATACTCCCTACGCTGTTCTGGCGGAAACGAAGCTGCTCAAAAATGTGGTGGAAATGGGCTAGAAGGAAGGGGAGGCCCACATTACCATCCTCCTGACTTGCCCTATGGGCCCTACCCTTGCCCCACCCCCTCTTTGGCTGTCATGCAGAAAACACCTCAACAGGATCAGGTTGGAAAGACTCACCAACTCCAAAGAAGAGCGGGCAGGTGAACACGGCAGGGCCCAGGCCCGTGCACGGCGCTAACATGGGCAGCATGCAGGCCCGGAACACCAGCTCCTCTGTCAGGGGTGCGATCACTTGGTTCCGCAGCCAACGCATGTCTGTGAGGCAGCGAGCCCAGGAGCGAGGGGCTAGTGAGGGGATTCAGGACAAGCAATGAGTGACTAGCTACCTAGCGGGGGGACCCCCTTCCACAACCTTCTCTCGGCCAAACTCAGCTTGGGCATCCATGTTCCTGAGAACAGATAAGGGTGGAGTTCTGTTTATCAACCCTGCCTGAGACGTCTCAAAGGGACCGAAAGAAAAGGCATTCGTAGCTGAGGCAGGGTATCTTACTGGCAAACTGCAAACATCAAGATCTCCCCAAGATCAGCTCTAGCATGGAGAAGTCAAAGATCCGAAGAAGCAAGCGACGATGCTCTACCAGTCTACACGGAGACTAGGGACTGCTAGGGTGCTCGGGGCCCCCTGGGACACCAGGAACCAACTCTCAGGACCGACCTCCATGTGTTCCTATTTTACTGGTGAGGACACAGAACGTCTCACATCCAGGTCCCACCGTGACTCGCTCTCCCGGGTATCCCGGATTGCCTGCACCCACTTTCTACCTCGGCCCTGAAGACTCACCTAAAACCACCTTCAACCCATCCGTCAGGTCACAGGGGCAATCCATAGAGAGCTGCATCAGTGGGCCCAGGAAAAGGATCTGGGAGGGAGGGCAGGCAGAAAAGCAAGAATGATCACAGGAAAGACCGACCACTCGAGTCCCATGCCTTTGCCCAAGCAAGGCCCCCTTAGACCCAAGCAAGCCCCTTAGGCTTCCTGGTCTTGACCAGCCTTCCCTACCCACACACACCCTAGGGGGCCCTGGCCGCCTCACAATGCCTGCCTCCCATCAGCCAAAACCTGGTCACAACCAGGATACGGAAAAGGTGAGGGAAAGGCCATCATGCCAGTAACAAAGAGCAGCAGGCGAAGCGGCAGCACTCACCATGGTCAGCAGCAGGGGCAGCAGTGCTGCCGGGAAAATGCCCTCCAGCCTGAAGCCCATCAGGGAAAGTAGGGATGTGCCTGGCTGAGCCACAGGAAAAGGGGCATCAGTCTAGCTCCTACCCCCGAAGAGCCCTAAGACCTCTCCCGGTGCCCTCTGCCCCGCCTCCTCCGCACCTGGATGCCTGTGAGCTCCCTCCAGAGCAGCACGCAGAGGGGCGAGAGGCTGGACACCACCAGGACACTGGTGAAGCGCCGCTTGATGACGGCAGGGTGGTCCCTACGGAGGGGGCAGTAAGTTTGGGGGCCCCCGCCGCGCCGGACAGCACGACCCCGCCCCCAGCCCCGCCTCGCGGAGCCGCGGTCCGGGCCGCGCGCCGTCCCCGCACCTGGGCAGCTCGCTCTTCCAGACGTAGAGGCTGCCCACGTAGGAGCAGGCGAGGCTGAGGCAGGAGAACACGGACACCCAGCAGCACAGCCCGGGGCCCGGGCCGCCCAGCGCCGTCGACTCGGGCTGCCGCTCCGGCCGCGACACCGACAGCAGGCGCAGCGCATCCCCGCCCAGCGCCGCCATCGCGCCCGGATCCCCGGCGCGCGTCAGTGACGCGACCCCGCCGCTCGGCCGGCGCCGACCGGAAGCCCGGTGACGTCATCCGGCGGCGCGGGCGACCGCCCCGCCCCGCCCCGCCCCCAACACCCAACCAAACGAGGCGCGCGCTGAGCAGGTTTATTGAGCCGCGGTGGACTCGGCGGGGGCAACTCAGAGCGCGGGGCCGGGGCGCAGCCACTCGGACAGGTTGGAGACCTCCTGCAGCCACAGCGCGTCCTGCGAGCGGAGAGAGGGCCGGGTGAGGCCAGCCCCCGCTTCCCGCCGCGCCCTCCCCGCGCCGCCCGCGCCCGGTTACCTCCAGGCCGCGCCCGGGCCCCGCGCCGCTGCCGCCGGGGCTCCGGGGGCCCGCGGGGGACCCCGCGCCGCTCGGGACGGCCGGGGGCGGGCCCGAGGCCCCGGCGGCGGGGGACGCCGGAGTCTCCGCCACGCGCCGGCGGACGCGGTTCCTCTTGAGCCTCCTCTTTCCTACTGGCCGGCGGATCCCTAGAGAAAACAAGCCCCCTTATCCGACTCCCCAGACCTGTGCGAGGACCACCCCCCGCACCCCCAACGGTCACGCCAGGGCCTTAGTGAAAGCTACGGGCCGCGCCACCCACCCCGAGTGGATGATGGGCCCTGAGCCCGCCGCTCAGCCGGCAGAGAAGACGACACGCTGCCAGCGAGCACCGCTGAGAACTTTGTCAAGGAATTCCCCGGCGGCCCCCGCATGCTCTCCAAGGCAGGCAACGCTGTCGCCAACCGCGCTGATAACCCGCAGTTTGCCAAGGGGCTTGTGACCTTGCCGGGGGTCGCGCAGGCCTTGCAGAACAGGTGGTCACCCATGAGGAGAAACGGGTCATCTCATCCCGTGTTTGTGGAGGCCCAGCTAGGCCCGCTGCCGAAGATACGGCTAATACTGGGCCCCACTTCGCCCTGCGCAAGGCACTTGCTGTTCGCGTTTGCCCGACGCAACGCCGTCTCTCTCCAGGCTGAGCGACCCAGCTAGCGGCGGGGGCCAGAAGACGATGCCCGACTTGCCCAATAGTTGCCCGCATGGGCTGGAAGGTTTCTCCCAAGGGCCCTTACAATGAACAAAATCCAGAGGCGCGCCAAAGGCTTCTGAACCCTTTCAATAAGCTCCGGAGGGTGACTTGACTTTCAGCCTCCCCCACCGGGCGCCACAAGACCATCCACCTCTGCGCCTGCTTTGGGAATGGGCGCTACAGCCCCCGCCTCATCGAGGGGTGAGTTCCGAAGAAGGGGATACTGGGGACATGATCAGCCTGTCCCCGGTGCCCGCTCCAGATGCGGCCCGGCAAACTTTAAGCCTAAACCGAAGACAAACAGTTTTTGTCCAACCGCGCACGCCACGTGGTGCACCAGTAAGGTAGAGGAAGGCCTTTTTCTTGGCAGCAGCATGGAGTTGAGGTGCCTGATGGCACTGGGGGGGGGGGAGGGTAACCAAGTGTGAGACCCCCATCAGGGATTTGTCTGGGATTTATAGTCAAATATCTCAGAACCCCCCCCCCAAAAAAAATAGGCCCCAGGGCAGGGGGAAACCTAGAGGGAGGAGCTGGGGCCAGGCTCGTAGCCCACCATCTCCCCCACTTCAGCGCCCTTTCATCTGGTCCAGATCAAAATTGGCATCTTCCAGCCTTGGTATCAGGCTGAGGCTGCTGAGTGGTTTCAGATCTTCCTAACCCCCATCCCTGGCCAGACTGCCCAGAAGGGGCATCTGAAATCATACCAAGCCAGCTCTCGCACCGGCACCACTGGTCACTTTCTGCAGAGTCCTTGGGAGCCAGCACTAGCCTGCTCCTTCGTCCATGCCTGAGTTGCTCACAGGCATGGTCCATGCCCCCAGGCAGCCTTGCTATATGAGCTAAGTTTGGCACTAAAAATAAGACAGGTTACCAGAAGGGGAGGCAGGGGAAGGATGAGAACAAGGGGGGCAGCGGGCTAGGGTAAAGGACTGTGGGTGCTTTGTGGTGGGTGGGTGTGGTGACATCCGATATATCTGAGGTGTAAACCTATACCCCTAGTCAGCTGTAAATTAATGTTAATAAAAAAAAATTATTTCCTTAAAAATAAAGCAAGTTTGGATGATAGATTCTTGTTGAGCAGGTCCTGGGAGGGTAAGTCAGGAAGCTAGTCCTGGATGAAGCTCATAGATGCTCAGAGAGAACCATGTGCAAAGCCCAGGGGTAGAACAGAGACCCCGTAAACCATGTCTGGAGGCTAAGAAAGGTTTCCCTGAGTCGTCCGAGCTGGGTTATGAATGATGAAGAGAAATATGCTGGGCCAACAAGGGGACATGGAAGGAATTCCAGGCTGAAAGAGTCGTGCAAATACCGAAAGGCATGACAGGTGTCCTATGTAAAAGGAAAGCGAAGGGGGTCCTACTGGAAACGAAGCTAAAGGGGTTAGGTTTTCATCTGTAAAACTGGAAGGCAGATAATTGCTCATTTTGTATTAGAAAGATCATTTGTCAAAGGTGTAGCTTAGAGTCAGTCAAGTTAGAAGCAGGAAGGCCTCAAGAGCCAGAAGTCAGGCTGCAGGATGCAGGCACCACCAGGAGTCAAGAGGCCTCAGTGACAGGCCTTTGTGGTCGATCCTTTGCAGGACACAAGAGTGAGTGGCATCTGCAATTTCTGGTGTGAAATCTGCATAGTGCAGTTACCGAGAGCGACTGAAATGCGAAGAGCTGACTAAGTGTGCGCAGAGGGCACTGCATTAGGAGCAGGAAATGGAGGTCCTGGTAGGACTTCTACATGGAGCTGCCTAGAGAGTGAATCCGTCTCCCATCTTGTGCTCAGGAGAGCCCTGGGCTAGTAACACCAACGGGGGTTTCTTCGACCCAGTGGCAGGGGCCAGGGCCTGGGACAGAAGACTGCAGCTCAGGGGGGCGTGTAGTGTGAACACTGTTTAGGGGTAGCCAGAGAAGTGGAAGAGAACAAGTCAGAGGAGAGTCACAGCTTTAACGGTGCTAATTCTGCAAATAACTAGTTCAGGCACAATCAGTTTGGCATCGAAGAGGCCCTCCCCAAGGAGAGCCCTCACAGTTTTAGAGGCCACAGGGGAAGCAAGTGCCTGGGTCAGGGAGAGAATGAGGGAAGGGGGGTGGGTAGCAGAACTCACTTTTTTGAGAATCTTGGCTGGAATGGGATGGAGAAAAATAGTTGAAAGAAGTTTGAGATCATGGGAGATTTCATTTGGAAGAAAATGGAAGTCGACTGGCTGAAGGAAAAGAATTGAAGAGAGGTTACAGGTGCAGAAGTGACAACTGCTGGAAATAGGTCCTGAGAAAGTGGAGGCGTAACGCCACCCCTGAGCCTGGCAGGGAGAAGTGTCCATGCTGGTGTGCTCTGGCAGTGGGAGAAGTGCAAACTGGGTGAATTTACTAAAAAGAGACTGATAAGTGTGAAGTAGAAGGCTAAGTTAGAGGGAGACTGTATAAATCTCTGAAAGAATGGCACAGCCACTGAGGAGAAGGCCAGGAAGACAGGAGCAAGCATCGCCAACTGAAGGCTCCTCAGCGAATGGGCCACAGGAGTCTGTAGTGGCATTACGTTGGGTGGTTTCCTTCAGCAGAGCTGCCCACATTGGGCTGACTGGTGGCCACAAGAGCTGTATGCAGTTGCATCTCTGTAAGGCAGAGCAGCACAAGCAGTTTTCCAGAGTGGTCTGCCAGATCATACATTCACACCTAGATTTTAAGGCCTGTTGCCAGGTGGGGAAAGCGTAGCAGTGGAGGCGGCAGGCTGAAATGCAGATCTGCGAAGCTCTTCACCCAGCGTCTGAGCCTGGGTTGGCTCTTTTGTGACAGGGGCCAGTGCTGCCCACCGCAGAGCGTCTTCCTCGCTGTGGAAGAGGCTGGCATCTCCCTGGATCACAGAAGGTGCTGAGTTCAATGTGAATTCCTTTAAGGAAAGTACTACTTCTTTTATCTCCACTGAACAGATGCTGAGTGGCGTGTGTGATGTGGTGTACTTCCATTCTTTCAGATCTCCAAATGTGCATTTATAGATTCTTCGCCTTCTACAAGCCTTCACTGCAGGGTTCTTTACTCTAGCAGCGGCCCCCCCAATGTCGGAAGCACAGTTCAGCTGAAGAGTGATTCAGGAGTGATTCACATCCAGAGCGGCGCGTGGACAACACGCAGCATGCTTAGCTGTGACCCTGGAAAGAGGAATCTTACCTACAAAGCATGGGGGTGCTAAAGGCAGCCCCCAATTCCCTCAAGCCCAGCTGCTCTTTGTCTAAAGGAGACAAAGGAGCTGACCCTTGTGGAAACAGACGGGAGCTGGGCTGCCTGGGGTGGAATTCTAGCTCTGCTGTGTGACCTGACATTTCTGGGTCTCAATTTCCACAGCTATAAACTGAAAATAATAAGAGTGCCTGTATCCCAGGATCACTTTGGGAATTAAGAGCAGTCATCTTTTGAAGACTCAGAAGTGCTTACACCTGACTATACAGGTTCGGGCCCTAGTAGCTATGGTTATTTCCAACCCTAAAGGCGGTTTAAATGTTGGAGGGAAGAGCGCGTGTGTGGGGAGAAAGAATTCAATACAATCACCATCACCTCACATACACTGACACTGCCCCGTAACTTATATCAAGGTTGAGTTAGTGTCTGCCCAGGAGCAGCCTCCAGAACTCCGTACCAAAGTTGGGCAGAGCCACCATATCAACACTAGTCATTAAGAAAAATGTGAAGGGCCTCCCTGGTGTCGCAGTGGTTGAGCGCTGCGCTGTGAAGCTGCCCGCAGCCTCTGCAGCGCCGGTTCAATCCCTGGACTCAGGCAAGGGTCCCACATGGCATGCAGACCTCTCCTGCCACCCGCTGCTCCCCTCAGCAGTGTAATTCGTCAGTCTGCTTGTTCTGCTCCCTGCTCTGGCTCTGGTGAATTCTCTCACCCTCCCGTGCTTCTGACTGTACCCTGCACTTGTATAAATAAATAAATAAATCTTTAAAAAAAAGAAAAGAAAGAAAAATGTGAAGGAACCACCTGGGTTCAGGGCCCTGAGTCTGCTCTGGCCAGCCCCCGAAGGCCATCACATGCTGCTATCTGTAACCGCACAGATTGAGAAGGCTCTAGTTCCCGCAGCACCGCTTTGGGGAAGGACTGCCTCCTGGCTGCCCCCAGAAGACTCAGAAAAACCCAGAAGACCCCTGATGTGGTTAAAGGTGCAGCCTGAAGGTTTAGAGTTGGTTTTAGTCGCAGCTTTGGTCCAGGACTCACCCGAAGTGCCGAGATCTGGGCAGCTGTTGTCACGTGCATCCTCCGCGCTCTGTGCTGCATTCTCTGGGGGCAGATGCTTAAAAAATTGCAAGTCCTAAGTGAGATGAGTGTGCCTTGTGGCTGGATGTCATAGGGCTGTCCTCCCTCACCCAAACTCCCCCTTCATTTCTCCTGGCTCAAATGATTTATCCAGTCCGCAAGCTTCAAAGTTCCTTCCGCTGGGCCTTTAGATGCTTGCTCCAGGGCCCCAGGCATGTCCTTCCTTAGCCCCACCACCCCCACAGTGCCCCACTGCTTAGACTCTGAGGTATATACTACACACTCCTGTCCATCCTTTCAATGTATATGTCCATTTCTACCTCTTAAATTCCTGAAAGGTGAAGTCCATCATGTCTGTCTGTAACTGTAGCTGGCATAGTAGTGCCTTATACGGGTAAGTGCTCAACAAGTGACTTGACAGACCTGGAAGGCCACAGGGCACACTTTGTCATCCTCAGTGGTCTTTCAGAACCTGGCTGCACTTGCTGATTCAGTGTGAATAGAGAAACACAGCTACTAAGATCAGAACCCAATCCTCTTAGCTCCTTGGTTCTCAAGAATACAAGTGTATAAAAATAGATGTTGTCTACCAAATGAAAAACTTGTGCTTCAAAGGTCACTCTAAAGTCAACACACAAGAAGGGGAGAAAATCTATCTGATCTAAAATAAAAAACTCTTATAATTCAACAGTAAATGACTGAATAAAAAACTCAATTTGACAGAAGATTTGAATGGACATTTCTCCAAAGACAATAAGCAAATGACCAGGAAGTACATGACAGCATCATTATTCATCAAGGAAATGCAAATCCAAACCACTTCATCGTGCAACCTCACACCTACTAGGATGGCAGTATTACTAATAATGGATAATAATCACTGTAGGTAAGGAAGCACACAGGTTGGAACAATTGTACACTGCTATCAGAAAAGTAAAGTGATAAAGCAACTTTGGAAAATAGTTTGGACATTTCTTAAAAAGTTCAAACATAGAGTTACCATATGACCCAGCAATTCCACTCCTAACTATATATCCAAGAAAATTACAACATGTCCCCACAAAAAAATGTTCATAACAGCACTATATAATAGCAAAAAGTAGAAATAAAACAAATGTCTACCAACTGATGAATGAATAAGAAAAAGTGGTCCATTTATACAATAGAATACTACTTGGCCATAAAAAGGAATTAAGAACTGTTAGATGTTACGACATGGATGAACTTTGCAAACATTAATGCTAAGTGAAAGCAGCCAGACAAAAGACCACTTATTGTATGGAAAAATCCACTTACATGAAAAAATCCAGTATGGGCGAATTTATACTGAGGGAAAGTTTATTAGTGGTTCCTGGGGGGTGGGGAAATTGGGACTGACAGCAGGTAGGTACTGCTTTTTGTCTCCACTCTACAGGCGGGGATGTTCTGGCAGTGGTGATGGTTGTAAAAACACAGTGAATACACTTAAAACCACTGAATTGTATACTTTAAAATGGTAGACTTCATGGTATGTTAATTATATCTCAATTAAAAATAGATGTTCTATCATTGTTTATTAAAGTAAGTTTCAATTTCTAAGTAATTACATACCAAGGAACACAGAAATGGTAAAAATGGTCTTAAGGGTGTGAAAGAGAAACAGCATGAGGGAATTCCTGAGCATTGTTTTCTTCTTTGAGAGAAGCTTGTTCTATTCACTCTAACCTGGAATGGACAGACCTTCCGCTTACCTTGAAATTGGTTTCCCAAGGATATACCCACATTCAGATACAAGACTCAGCCCTAGGCAAGCATTCACTCATGACCAGGTTCCCCAGACGAGACAGCCTATTCTGCGGTTTAACACTGTAGGACATTAACTCTGGTCTCACTCATCACCACCCCCAAACAGGAAATAGTGACTTTCCTTAGGAAGCAGACTCCTTTTTCCACTCCTGCTTATCCTGCACTTACATTCTCAGTCCCTACACACATCTGTGACACTACGTGCTTTAGTACTACCCTGTCTGCTCCTTCATAGCCCACTGTCCTCTGTTCCCACAGGCAGGCTTAAAATTTTCTTCCTGACACCTTTTCTGAAATACACATCCTCTCATTTCTTCCTTTTCTCCATAAACTCTACAATAGCAATATATGGTTTTATTCTTTGTTACCCAACAGGATAGCTATTCTCCTTGACTGGTCCAGAGGTAAAAGACCTTGACCTGTCATCCTTGATCTTGTTGTTTTTACCTGACGCCACTAGATGCCACTCTTGTGCCATTTATACATTACTCGTCGCTAAATGTCCATGATGAGCACGGAAACAGTTATGATATTAGAGTGGAGACTCATGGGTTCTGCTCAGAGCTCTGGTCACTCATCCTGTGATCCCGGCCTATTTGGTACAATGCCATTTACTGACTGATTCTGGGCAAATTATAGAAAGTCACAAACCAGTTTTCTTCATCTATAAAACGGGAAAACTACCTCACGAGATCTTTGTAGAGACTAAAGTGGAAATACTGACACAAATTAAGGATTTCATGTTTCTTCCAATACCTGTGACTGCCGGATAAGACCTTAAGTTCACCAGTCATCTGCCAGGTAAACTGGGCCACGAACATCCCCCAGGCTACAGCAACAGAATGGAGCAAAAGAGGTCAGATGATTCCTGTTTGAGATCTCACTGGGATAACAGAGGCCCAAGCAAAAGAACTTCAGAGGCTGAAACAGATCCTGCCCATAAGTTCCAGGTCCTATGATATAGGCACATGTCTTACCCTCAGCCTACTCCTAGAAATGCGAAGGTGCCGATAGCTGCAGTGAACTGAATAGGGCCCCCCTCAAAGATATGTCCAAATCTCAACTCTCCAAAGTCTGTGAATGTGATGTTATTTGGAAGAAGGGTCTTTGCAGGTGTAACTGAGTATCTCAAGATCACCATGGATGCACAGTGGGCCTTAATCCAATGATAGTGTCCTTATAAAAGAGGGAGATTTGAGAGACAAAGGGAAAAGACCACATGAAGATGAGGCTGAGATTGGAGCATCCGCAAGTCAAGGAGTATCTGTAGCCAACAGAAGCTGGAAGGGTACAGAGGATTTGCTCTTGAAGGCTTTGGAGGGAACAAGGCATGCCAACACTTTGATTTTGAATTTCTGGAGTCTAGAACTGTGTGGTCATAATTTTCTGTTGCTTTTAAGTCACCAAGTTTGTGGTCATTTGTTACAGCATCCACAAAACACTGATGTTACCAAATGCATCCCCAGGAAATGGGGCAAAGCGCCATTTTCCCCACCCCCACTGACATGCAGTCACCATGGACTACAACTAGCAGCTGTCCATCAATGGGAATCCTTGGATGAGGTTTGGAGACGGAGGAAGAGGACAGGGATTGTCATGGAACTGCAGGCCTCCCCCAGGTGAATATGGCTTTTAATTTTTTTCGTTTTCAGTGAACTGCTCAGCTGACACTGGTGAGAAGGACAGTGCTGCCTTGTGGGCCAGTGGCTTCTGTGGGCCAAGAAGCGCTGCAAGCGGCAGAGAAGGTGCCTGGAGTCAGTGAGGGCTCATCCATCACCCCCGAGGCATCTGTCCCCTCCCAGTTCTCTCAGCACTCTCTCTGTAAATACTTTCTACTTCTGCGTTTTTTGGGTCTGTTCTTTTGTTCTGGAGCATGTAGGTGGGACTCATGAACCGAGCACTGCAGCATTGCCCACTTACACTGACAAAATGGGCATTAACTTTTATTTGCTCAGGTTGTGCGCATCAACTCTCCAAGGTAGAGATAGCAAGAACGCAGTGAACACAGAAAGGAACAGCAGCTGCATGCCTAGGAAAGTGCTTTCCAGAAGATACATGGCTGTGAAAAAAGGTGTGGTGAAGGGCGCTTTCACAGCGCTTCATTGCCCCACCATGCTGTCTAGCCACAAAGCAGAGGGGATGGGCATATCCATGAGAGTGTTCTTGGGTGCCTGGGCACTTCCCCATCCAATTAAGCAACAAGTGAGAGGGGGGAGAAGCAGAGGAGGGGTAAGCGGCCGTTACTCACTCAGAAACTGTGTATATGGAAGATTTCCACCAAAATACTGATCACTTTACACTTACCTGCCTCGCTTCATATGAGCAGTGGTGAAGAAACTGGTGCCGGGTGACCTCATGAAATGCTTCGTGCAGTTTGGTCCCAAAGTCCTGTGTGTCGGCTGCCTAATAAAACAGGCCAGAGACAGAATATGTGGGTTCCCAGTACCAGCAACGAGAGGGAAACTGGGCTGACTTTAGGATGGCCAAGAGAGTGTTCTCACTACCTTGTGCAGTCCATGTGACCACAGAAAGTTCATATGGGAGGAGAATGAGACAGATCTGAAGGCAAACCACTCACATCCCTCACATTGTCTGAGGCATAGCCTTCGTTCCTATGCACACGGAGGAGAAAGGTCTGGGACACTTGGAACAAGACAGGTAGCTGTGGCTCCTATGCGTCTTCCTATTTTTGTTGCCTAAGCGAGATCATTCAAAGTATTTGCTCTACCTACAGGAGATAATTATCCCAGAAATCCATTTGTGCAGATGTCATGTAAACCGTTCTTCCCTAAAACAAGCTTCAAGAGAGTAGAGGTTCCACTGAACAACTAAGGCCAATATGACAAATTTTCCTCAGACAAGTCTTTCAGGGGAGAGAAGAACAAAATAATACGGTTTACACCCATAAGAAATCCATTATCAGTCTTATGCTTTTAAATGTAGAATTATAGGATATTAAAGGGGACCAGAGTAATCACCTAATACAACACACTAGTTGTATTAGGTAAGAAAACTGAAATTCAAAAAGAAGTGACCCACCCAGGACCTCACAGAATAAAAGTTAGGGCTGACTTTAGGATCACCAATAGAGAGTTCTCACCACCCTGTGCAGTCCATGTGACCCAGAAAGTTGAAGTGATGAAAAATGCACTAGACTATAAAGGTGTTACACTCTTTGACCCTAGAACTTCACTTATAGAAATTTATCCTAGGCAATAATTCAAAAGAAGCAAGACATCATATAAAGGTATTAACTGGAGTACCATTTATATTGCCAGACGTAATGTAAAATAAGTGTCTAACATTAGGAGAATGCTGTTAAGTTGGATTAAACCAATACAGAAAAATATTGGGTAACCAATACATATTCTAAGATTATGAAAAGAAGGGAAAGTCAATTACATGTGAAAATAAAATAGTAAATATATGAGCTAATATGCCAGAAATGCCAGTTTATAATGATAAACTTTGTTAGTTATTTTAAATTATGTGTGTATTATCTTTTCAAGAAAAAGTTAGAAAAGAGAAAACACCACACGGAATAAATGTGTTACCCACTGATAATGCCCATCGGTTAGTACACATTCCTAAAAGGGAGGAAATCACTCACACTGAGAACTTACTGCGTGCTGTGCACTTTCATATTGGGCCTTCACCTTCGTGAGACCCCTGGGAGAACTGTTAATTTTTTTAATTTAATTTATATATGACGCTCAAATCCACATACTCAATTAGTAAATGAGCCAAGGTTTCAACTCAGGCCTCTGAGTCCCAAACTTGTTGCACGATTCCGTAAGGCCAAATGCATGTCATGCCTGTGGTTTAGTTATTTCCAACGTATTCTGTCACTATCAGGTAATAGAACATTCTTCAGCAAGGAACTGGAAATCACTGATCTAATGCTAGCTCTTCTTGCAACTAGTTATGTGACCTAGAAGTAGTAGATATATTAAAAAAACTTATTTTCTCATTTCATACCATGAAATGGTATACAGACCACTATCCATTCAACAATCATTTCTTAAAACACTTGCTATAGGCCTGGTACTATGTAGAATGGCAGCAGAAACAGACAAAATGATGTTTCTACAGCACTACCCATATTACTAAGATACACAGTACCAATAGAATGTCATTAAAGCCCTGGACCTTTTAAGCAGCTCCAGTTTCCTACTAACCTGAAGGGCCTGGAGACAGGTCTTTCGGAAGCTGCTGCTGGTACTGCTGGTCACAATACTCATGATGGAATTCACAGCCACCGAGAGTGAGGCCTGCAGTTTCTGACAAATCTAGGGAACATAACAAGTAAGGAGGACCCAAAGTTTATAATAATCCCAAACTGCTGGCTCAGATAATCCCAGAGGTGCCCAGAGATTTCAGGGAGAGCAGGATTTCAACAATTATTCCCCCTCCGCCACCAATACTTACTGAGATTACGACATAAAAAGGACACTTGGGTTGAAATAAAATAAATGTTCTCTCCTTTCATAGAGATGACTTAGGGACACAGACACATTCAGAAAAGACAATAAGTCAACAGTCAACAAAATAGATAAACTTATTGTTTTAAAACAACAAGCTTTAAATGTTGATCTCAGTACAGGTGGTTTTTATTTCCCTGAAAAGGGAAAGAAGTAAGGAATGTGTTACCAAAAATACACAGGATGGAGGAATTCAGAAATGGAGATGAGAAAGTGACATTGTAAAGGGGGAATAATGTAAGAGTCAATGAAGCAGGAGCTCCAGAAGTATGAGAATGGAAAATGTACAGCAAAGAAAGAGGCGCATTATCAGTCATCTTTCTCCGACTTTCATTTTGTCCCCACTTACTCGACTTCACTCCAGGAGGTCAGACCACACAAGCTCTTTACAGTGACCTGCCTGAGTTACTAGACTAGATGCTGTGTCTAAGACAGCCCAGGGCACCAAAGAGATGACGAGGCCTTAGGGAGGAAGGCTCTGCCTGCCGCACACTCTAGCCATGTTTTTCTTAAAGAGAGCGGGAAATGGGAATTGCAAACTTACTACCTGGGCAGCCTGCTGGTGCTGCTCCAAGGCCTGGTCCACGGCGCCCTGCAGAGAAGCCTGCACCGCACTGTGGCTCTCCACGAGGACAGCACTGAGATGAGCTGCGAGCCAACTGTGGACCCCTACAGGAGGGAGAATGTGGTTACCTTGAGTGGGTGTGTTCCCTTGCTTTAAGTCGGCCTAGGAATGGGGGTGGGGTCTCTTGAAAAAGAGGCCACTTCTGTATCTCAACAAATAATTTTTTTTTGGACAACCCCTCCCCGCATGCAGCAACTTGTAAACACACCCAATTCCCACTTACAAATGAAAGAAAGTTCAGGAAAATAATAGTGAAGAATGACATTATCTTCGGGGAAACAAACGAGGGATCATGTTTAATTCCTCTCAAAAGCAAAACTATATACCACGTATTATACACAATGACACTGGTGACTCCCAAAGGAGGGAGAGAAGGGGAGGGGCGCCTCCTGCAGTGTCTAACCCCATCCCATCCCGCTGCACACTGCAGGGGCAGCTACTATGGTATCAATCCTCTCAGATATGCTGTGGCAGAGAAAGAGTTAAAACTCACAAAGATGACACTAGGAGTTTCTGGTATAAAGTCTTTTAAAAAGGGTACTATGTCTGATAAAGTCACTACAGGCATCACTGCTCAGCACTATTAGAAAAGCTCATGTGTGTGCGCGATGGGAAAACATGTCCCATCCAACAACAGACTGGCACTGATGACCTTGAGGCCCTGACACAGCTTACACAGGGAGACAAAACAATTCACTTCAGGAGTGAAGCAACCTAAGACCTGAAGTTGCTGGCTTTTCTCAGGGCTGCATTAAAAATGCAAGCAAGGGCCTCCCCTGGTGGCACAGGCAGTTGAGCGCAGGGCTGTGAAGCTGCAGCGCTGGTTCCATCCCAGCCAGCTGGCAAGGGTCCCCAAGGTAAGCAGACCTCTCCTGTCTCGCCTGCTGCTCCCCTCAGCAGTGTATTTCATCATTCTGCCTGTTCTGCTCCCCACTCTGTCTCTGGTGAATCCTCTCACCCTCCCGTGCATCTGGCCTGTATCCCAGTTCTTTTATAAATAAATGAATAAATCTTTTTAAAAAAATGCAAGCAAGAAGGAGCATTTTGTATTACTAGGTACCATGGTGTTTTCCTGGAAGGGAAGGGAGTATGTGATCAGCCCAAAAAGGATCTGGAACTGGAATCAGGAGAAAAGAGATTCTAGGGTCAGTACTATCACCAACCATTGGGGATCATCACTTCACTTTCCTCCCTTCAGTACAGAAAATGGCTTTATACTACCTGCCCTCAAGGGTATGTGGTGCAAATAAACTGGGATAATATATATAGAGGTCCTGAAATACACACTGCCAACGCTCAAAGGGAAATGCAGCTATTGCTTTGATATCATTTGGATCACTGTTGTCTATAGTTGGGGTCTAATAATAGCCTCAAGAAATCAGGCCCTTTTGAAAGCAGAGATTTAATTAAAAAACTAAAAGTTAATTCCTAAAACTGCTAATACCACCAGATGCTTTTAACATTGTGGTAAAATAATGAGTTAATCATAGAAAAGTTACCATGACAAGGTAGAAGGCCAATTAAGTGGTTTTTTTTTTTAAAGACACATGGAAACAGACTGTAGTTCTGCACAATCTGTTTCCTAAAAGGAGCTCAAGAGAAAGCTTGCAAGGATGTGCGAGAAAGGAAAGATAAAATTACAACTATATCCATACATATATAGCTACCTACCCTCACCTGCGCCCTCTTTAAGACTAGTCCTAAACTACCAGATGTGTAAAGACCTTTGAAAGGACATTTACTATGCTTACTAACGCAGTGGCAGGTTTCTACTCATCCAGTTCGGAGTGTAACTACTGAGCAGTGCAAACCTCCAGAGTGGTATAATCACAGTACTGTAAGAATGACAGGTAACACTGGTTTCTCAGGAATCTGTGTTCTTAAGGGATGTCATTAGGATTCAGAAAATGGGATCAGACTTTATGTCACCCTAGGGAGGACTGAATATGGCTCTCCCTCTAGCAGACCTCAAAAGAAAAAAGGCAGAAGAAAGCAGACTATAAGGGCCTTGAGGCTTTTAGGGGCCTTTGATATTATCTAGTAAACATGAATCTAACAATCTCATGTTATATGAAAAGGGAGGCTCAGATAATTTGTCACTTGCTTCCCAAAAATCATTGAGGAAATTGGTAACAGAACTAAAGTTAAGCCCAGTTCTCTCTATATCCTGAAGTCCTTTCCATAATATTACACTGTTCCTCTTAGCAGTCTCTGTCCATCTGAGCATAAGACAGGTAACAACCCTAGGGATCCTCAGTTTTGACCTCCTTGCTGGAGGCATCAACAGTCTTTATCTCCCCCACGTTCCCATTCCCAGGGCCTTGATCAATGGAACAGCGGGCACCACAGGAACGTTCTTTCAAACAGCAGTGCAAGCCAGGGCCAAGGAAGCAGTGCTTCTATTCTTAAGAGCAAAATATCAGAGAGGCACGGAAAGCTAGTAGCAAGAAGACTCCCATAGCTGAAAATGCTTTGTTCAAGGAATAGTTGACACCCGTGAACATGAGCTCTTCTGATCTGGGGTCGTAAGCTGTTGCATTTCTCTTCTGACCCAGAGGAAGCAAGGCCACCTCCAGCAGCACTGGAATGTTTGCAGAGTCCAGTCCTGAGAAAAAGCACTTGGTCCACAGAGAAAGAACACAGAAACAGATCAGCAGCACCAAAAGGGAGGTTTATGAAAATTTCCCCAGATTTTTATAAAGTCTACTTCTTCCTACTTTCTTCAAAGTTTAGGAGGGCTTTGAGACACATTTAAATTTACCTCCCAGGATAACCGGATAAAATGCATAAGCCAACTCAACTTTAGACTCAGTGGCACTCAAACTTTATTATATTTAAGAATCATCTAAAAATTCTGTTAATAGTGCATATTCTTGAGCTACACTCTATTTTTTTACATTCTATTACAAATAATGAGTTAATCCTTGGCCCAGGAAGCTGCATATTTTCTATATTCCAAGAGGTTCTCATGTATTTAATTCATGCCTACAAAGCAGTGAAGTCACTGCTCTATTCTAACAGAGCACTTTCCTGGTAACACCTGTTAGATGGATGCCAAAGAGCCCTCCTTGTACACCAGAGGGAAGACAAGTTCTCTTGTCACAGAGGTCTACATGACCTAAGGCTGCCGGCTTTACACATACAACCAGCAATACCACCACACTCCCACACCTCACACTGGATTTGAGATGCCACATCAAGGCCAAGCAAGGCTGATTACATTTCTTGATTCTGCCTAGAAAGGCAGGTCAGCAATGAGCAGCATTCCAGCCTGGCTCACATCACCTGAGAAGCTTTTAAACAAACCACAGCTGAACCCGACCTCAGCCCAGAGTTACCCAAATCTCTGGGAGTGAAGTTTGGACATTTTAAAATGCTTCCTAGGTGATATACTGTGTACCTAAGGCTGAGAACCAGGCATCTAAGGCTCCCTACAGTGTAGGGAGCACTTTGGGAGTGTCTGCTGCTTTCTGGCTAACCAGATCTGATGTTGCCATTTAAGTTATATGTCAAGATCAGGTCTTTTCCATACAGCATATAATTTAGCTTACTTGAGAGTAAGGTTTTTCACTGACATTATTCTATGGCAATATATCTAATCCAGATATATACATCATATCACATTTTCTTTTTCCTCTTAACATTTAAGACTACCCAAGCTGGCAGCCCCATCCCCTATACCTACCCCAGAGTTCTGTGTGCTGGACTTGAAATTCACTGTGGAAATCCACAAAGAGAAAAAGCAGCAGAGTTTGTCCTTGAGGGTCCATATTTTGAGACTGATCCTCCTCACTGTGTTCCACCTGATAACTCACATCTGGAAGAACAAAATCTAGAGCACAAGATATTACAGCGCATTCTAAGACAAGTCCTCAAAATAAGCAAATAATAAAGAACCTGTACCTCAAACAAAGAAGGGTCTGAAATAAATCTAACTTTGAAGACTCACTTCTCCTCCTAAACCTGTTTCGCTATACACATGATGGAGGCAAATAACAGGGACTCAAAGGCAGAACAACAGAATACCAGGGAGTGCAAAATGCAAACCAAACAGCATTCCTTACAATTTACTGAGAAGCACTATACAATAACTTATTCATTGCTCATACAACTTTCTAAGGTGGGTATCACTAGTTAGAGCAAGAGGTCAGAGTCCAACCTGAGTAATGGAAATGACACATGGCAGGTGACATGAAAATTTGTACTGGGCCTCCCCGGTGGCACAGCGGTTGAGCGCTGGGTTGCAAAGCTGCCGGCGACCTCTACGGCGCCGGTTCGATCCCCGGCTGCTCCCCGGCCACCGAAGGAGGGTCCCACATGGCGCACAGACCTCTCCTGCCGCCCGCTGCTCCCCTCAGCAGTGTACTTCGGTCCTTCTGCCTGCTCTGCTCCCCGCGCTGGCTCTGGTGAATTCTCTCACCCTCCCGCGCTTCTGACTGTACCCAGTGCATGTATAAACAAAACGAACGAACAAACAAACAAATAAAAAAAAAAAAAGTTTAAAAAAAAAAAAGAAAGAAAATTTGTACTATCTTAACACTTAGGCTTCACAACAACACTGTGAAGTAGGGCCTACTCGTATGCCTTTTTACAAATTAGAACACAGGCACAAATAGGCTAAGAACATTGCCCACTGTATGACAGTAAGTAATGGAACTGCTTTAGATCTTACTAGACTAACTCCAAAGTATGTGCTTTTAACCACAATACTATAGGATTTCTCTATTTCCAAGTAATCCAATGCCCTACAGTTACTTTCTAGAACCTGACCTTTGTATTACAACAGTCCTAAATTCTACCGAGATCCCTGTACAGAACCTCCTTGTGGATCATGGTTCTGCCCTTTAGAGTAATTAGGGAGAAAAATAAACATTTTCTATGCATTATTCATTTCCAAAGTTAACTGAGAAAGTTCAGGCATCAATTGGCAGAGAAACCAAAGAAGAAGAAAACTAACAAAGCATGAAAATAAAAAGTGAAAGAGAAAAGGAAATATGCAAAACACTAGAGATTAAAAATCCCAGATGTCATGATACCAGTCTGTTAAAACCATACATTTTCGTCACAAAACTACTTACCTCCAGAGACCCCATCCAAGGTGACCCTCCTATCATTCCACCTACTCAAAAAAAAAGCCTTTCTGGGCCTCCCTGGTGGCGCAAGGGGTTAAGCACCGCACCATGAAGCAATCCGCAGCCTCTGCAGCACGAGTTCAATCCCCGGCCGGCCAGGGAGCAACCTACATGGCACAGCAGACCTCTCCTGACTCACCCGCTGTTCCCCTCAGTCGGTCTGCCTGTTCTGTTCCCCACTCTCTCTCTGATGAATCCTCTCACCCCCCACAATCTCTGGTCTGTACCCCAGCTCTTGTATGCATAAGAAAATCTTGAAAAAAAAAAAAAAGCCTTTCCTCTGGCGTACTTCCTAGATGAAGAGTCTATCATCTCCCCTGAGAGACAAACCCATCACAGGAGGCTTCAACCTTCTCATCCCAGTCCCAGTCCTCCCTGCTGGTCATCTTCCTCAGGATCCAAATGACCAGATAGTCTAAATTTCAGAGGATTCAAGCTACACCCATCAAGCTCAAGACTGTAAGCCTAGAGATCAGGTCATGGTTTCATATTCCTATTTCACAGTTTTCTTTGTTGGCCCAGTCATTAGGCATCCAGTTTTCAGCACAACTCAGCTGAAGTTAATGTGCTTAGGCTCCACACCAATGCCACAGCTAGCGTCCTAGTTTTGCTACTCTACGGTTTATATGCCTTACATTTATGCAGTGTTTTCGTTTTTTTTCCAAATAATTTTATGTATATTTTCATGTTTCACTAAGAAACATTTCTACAATAGTTCCCACAAGATGTCATTGATCCCTTAGTAATTTTTCTAAAGCCCCGGAGTTCACAGATTAATGAACAACAGAAACTCTCTGAACCAGTCCCTAGAAGATGAAGGTGCACTGACTACTACAAGAGGAACAGGGACAGAGGAAGCAGTGCAGGAAGTGAGCGGAGAAGCAGCATCAATGTGTAATGCCAAAACGGGCTCTGGGGCCTCCCTATTGGTTCTAGGGGTTAAGTCTCTCACTATTACCGAGGGGGCCTGAGTTTGAACCCCATCCAGGGAGCTGACCCACATGTAACTCAGGAGACCTCTTCTGTCTCACCTTCTCCTCCCCTTGGCAGTGTATTTCAGTAGATCCACCTGTTTTGCTCCCTACTCTGTCTCTAGTGAATCCTCTCACCGCACCCCCCCCACACCTTTGGCCTACACCCCAGTTCTTGTATGCTAAAAAAAAAAAAGGGCTCTGGTGGGGCTTTGCCCTGCTGACATCCATTTGCCTCACTCCATGCAGACTCTCACACATGGTCATGCCCTCATCCTCACCCCCTACCCTAAGCCATCAGATCACTGTTTTTACATACACCTGCTATTTTTATTTCCAAGCATTTCTCTATATTATCCAAGTTTCTTTTTATTCCAGTGCAAAAAGAGGGAGATATACCTCTATCCAAATTGAGATCCAAATTGGGCACCATACATAAGTGGTGTTTCTTCCAATTGATGAAATAAGAAGTATCTTTGAAGACAGCAGTAGCTGGCTGCTCCTGAGTTGGCAATACTAGAGGCAGACCTGAAGGCCCATATAAAAATATGTATAGTTGCTAAAGAAAATCGCCAAATTTTGGTTTCTTATGACTACATTTTCACTTACATAAAACAAACATAACACTGACCTGGTTCACACTCCCAGAAATAAACTAGTGTGCTAGGCGGTGACGTCTTAAGCCTTGTCCACACCAAAGATAGGTGTCAGGCACCAGAGATATATCCAGTACAATACCCAGAAATTTATTCTGGGTTTAATAAGTGTGAGCTACAGTATAGTATTAGGACAATTCATTTATTTATTCATTCAATCATAGGTTTGAATGGCACTGCATGCTAGACACTGCACTCAGTGCTGGGGACACAAAGATGATACGTAGATTTAATACCTAACTTCAGGTTACATTTAACACACACAGAAGCAGCAAGTGTAATTCAATGCTGGAAATATATACAAAGGAATATTTCCCAGCAAGTATTTGAGTGTATTCAGATTGAGGAGGAAATTTCTCACCTTGTCTAACCTTATTTTCCAAGCAAGACCAGGAAGTGCAGGCCCCATAGTGGTTCCTTCTCTTGTCCTCTCATCCCTAGTCTCATCCTCCCTCTAACACCTACTGATCTGCTAAATTTTCCCACTAAGATGTAATCTCCAGGAAGACAGAAATTTTGTATTATTCCCTCTGGAGAACAAGATAAAGAGGAAGAGAAACTTTCATATTGATCCAGAGATTAAGAAAAAGTATGTTTTAAAATACAAAATGTCCATGCAGTCTTCATCACCATCCTGTTCCTTCCTTGTCCCTAAAAGATACTCTCAGTTGGTATTTATCATACCATGGTCTTGATCCTCTTCTGTTCTTGTTCAGCATACTCTCCGTAACTTCATTATTTCTATAGCTTCAATCATATGCTAAATTGATACCTTATTATGTTGATTCCTTCCAGTGATAAGTCTCTCCCTCCTTTCCATGCTCATCACACTTTCAAATTAGGCACTTGCTATCTCCCTCCCTCACTGCACTTATTTACTGAGTGATAACTAACTTCTCTTTCCCACGCATCCCATAGTGCTGCTAAAGACTCCCAAACCATTCAGTAGTTCCCCACAATATAGAGAATAAAGTTCACACTCCTTAGTGAGGCTCTAAAGAGCCACCATTTTCAACTCCAAACTACAACCACAGCCTCATCTCTCCCTCTTGCATCATTCATTCCATGCTTCAGTCATACAAATTATATGACAAGTGTGAGTCACGTGTCACATTTCGTAGTTTTCAGTTTCCTGGAGAAATTCTCAATGACTTTCATGTTAGATTTTTCTTTTTATACAATTATTACCTGTTTCTAAATACAGAATTTATATGTCAAGCGTTTCTTTAAGAATTGGGATATAAAATCCATTTTAAAAGACAATTAGATGGACTCTGTCATCAAAAGGATATGGAAACTGAAGAAATTCTATTCTGCTGGCTGGAAAAGAGCTCCAGGCAGGGACACAGCGCAGCAGCTGGAGTCAGCGTCAGCTCTCCCAGCAAGCCCAGGCCAGGCACACCATCAGGGATAAAAAGCGGTACTGGATATCCTAGCACAGGGTGGATTCTGCCACACAGTAACTCAGTTGTACCGAATTTTGCCCTACTGTCAAAAAACAGGTAAGATAAAGTTAGCCTTTTTACCTCTTATTATTTAAGGGCCTCCCCGGTGGCGCAGCGGTTTTGAGCGCTGGGTTGCGAAGCTGCGCGCAATCTCTGTAGCGCCGGTTTGATTCCCGGCTGCTCCCCGGCCACCGGAGGAGGGTCCCACATGGCGCACAGACCTCTCCTGCCGCCAGCTGCTCCCCTCAGCAGTGTCCTTCGGTCCTTCTGCCTGCTCTGCTCCCCGCTCTGGCTCTGGTGAATTCTCTCACCCTCCCGCGCTTCTGACTGTACCCAGTGCATGTATAAATAAATAAATAAATAAATAAATAAATAAATAAATAAACAAAAAAAGTTCTCCTTTAAAAAAAAAAAAAGGAAATTATTTAAAAGGACATTCAGATTTCCTTTTATAACTGCAGCATAACCACATACACTACCATATCAGCTTTGCTGGAGTAAGGAACTGTGTCCCACTCAAGGAATCACAAGCCATAGAAAGAACAGCAAATTGGGCACTTCGGGAATGGTGTCATGACTTCTGCTTTTGCTGCCACTAATGGCAGTTTTATATTTTAAAAGGGTATTTCTTCTACTAAAATTACGGTTCTGAGCGAAGTTCCCAAGATCATTTAAAGATCAGCACGCTGGGATGAGGGAGCAGGGAAGGGTCCCTGAATCACAAATAACTTAAAACTGGCCTCGTGAAACTTAAATGTCTGCTTTCACACATGCTATTGCTTATCTTAGGTTACTGTTTGATACAAATAAGGAGAAATAAAATATTGTACAAAAATGTACAATGTAAGAATAAACAGTGAGTAAAACTTAGGATGCCTTTCTCTCCTAGAAAGAATCTAATGAAATTTGGTATTTGCTCATTTTCCAACAGCTCTTTTCCAAATATCAAATAAATATTAATGAACCGTCTCCTCTCTCTAAAGCAATCATGCCACCCAGGAAAATAAGTCCACAGATAATGGTTTAAAGGCCTAAACACTTTCAGTAAATCTATGGTAACAGTCTACATGTAAGTATTTTGTAATACTAGATTATAAAGAAAGATACGTGGTGGGGATTTTGTTTCCTGCACATATTAAAGAATAAAAACTATTCTAATCTGAGGTGAGGTGAAATTTTCAGCCAGAGTCAGGAGAGTGAAAATCCACGAGCAGTCTCTTCAAGTCTTAAATTCCTGTGACTATCAATGTTGATTCAGGATCATGTAAGTAGAGCCAGAAACTATTTATTTGAAAGAAATAAATTAGTTGAACTGTAATCAGGTTATTTTCTTGCTATAATTCATGCTGCACTTTGGAAGGCAAGAGAGACCATTCTGGGTATTTCATATTCCATACTACCTCCTCCATGGATTTTCCCTTTGGTAGTCTGAAGAAGGTAGAGGTGTGGAAACGATTTGTAAACCTATGCAAGATGCTGATGCACAAAAAATAATTAACAAGAATTCCTTTGTTCACAGTATCTCTCTAGCCAAGAGTTCCAGCAACCTTTTAAATTCTTTAGCTCTCTGTCCTCATGTCTAAATGAGACTGGAATTAGCAGGGTTTATTATTTTTTTTTCCTTTACAGTAGAAAACAAGCCCTGGAGAGGAGAAGGAACAGGTCCTCCAGTCAATTAAAATATATTCAAGGAGTCAATAATAAAAATAATTTTCAATATAAACAGCTTGAAAGTTTTGCTTTCACTTTTCTTGCACAGAATCTGACATGTGGCACTAAAAAATGGCCAGTGAGATCATTTTCAATTTCTACCCACATCCACATTCACACTCAAAATAAGAGTACAACATGGGAAGGGAGAGCAATGCTTTTCCCTCACCTCACATAATGCTGAGAGTTTACAACAAGAGCAATTCCATTCCACAGGCTCAAAGTGGGTTCATTCTGTACCCTACAAAGCAAAGCAAAGTTAAGCAATATCTCAGAAGTTATAAAACCAATGTCTGATTGATACAAATTTTGGCCTGTGACTACTGACACCCCCCAGAGATTACTGGAATTCAGTAACCAATTAACCAAGGGGAAAACCGCAATTGTTAAGTTCAGTCACAGTAGTGAAAGGGAAAAACATGAAATGTTTAAATAAATCTACTTACCCATGAAAAGCTAATACAAAATAAGAAAATTAGTTTCAAGTTTCAGTCAAGAAATCAAACTGTGATCCTACTGCAAAGAGGACAAGAGTGACAGAGAAAACAGTGGAGGTATGGATTTGAAGACTCACCCAAACATCTCTATGGAGGAGATTCCATTCATTTTTACACTGAAATTAAATTTAATCTGCAAAATAAATGGGGTGTGAGAATATGAACCAAGATAGAGTTTAAAACTTCCATAATCAGGGGCCTCCCCGGTGGCACAGCGGTTGAGTGCTGGGTTGGGAAGCTGCCCGCAGCCTCTGCGGCGCAGGTTCGATCCCTGGTTGCTCCTTGGCTACCAGAGGAGGGTCCCACATGGCGCGCAGACCTCTCCTGCCGCCCGCTGCTCCCCTCAGCAGTGTACTTCGGTCCCTCTGCCTGCTCTGCTCCCCGCTCTGGCTCTGGTGAATTCTCTCACCCTCCCGCGCTTCTGACTGTACCCAGTGCTTGTATGTATAAATAAATAAATAAATCTTTAAAAAAAGAAAAGTATACAGAAGGGGCCATAAAGGCATGCATGGTTTAAAAAAAAAAAAAAAACTTCCATAATCAGTTCCTAAAGGAGAAAAGAATTCTCTATTACCTTTTTTTCACTTGTATCTCCCCCAAACATAACACTTGCCTGTGTTTAAATTCTGAATCTCAAGGATATTCAGTCTTACACAATTCCAAGTATTCACAAATTATCAGGAAAATCTACATCTCTGTCCTCTGCTACTCTCCCAATGTATCTCTTCTCCCCCTTCTTAAGGGAACCATCCATTTTTCTTTCTGTTCTTTCCACTGTTCTCATACTTGCTTTTTTACCCATGTCCCCGATCTGACCTCTATGTCCCCCCTCCAATTTACTTCACTGTTCTAATTATTCCTACCTCCAATGTATATGTTTCTTTCTATGTGACAAAATGGGTAATATGAAACTCCAGATTGCATGAGTTCCAATTTTGCCTCTGCAGTTATTTAACTGTACCATAGTTTCCTCAGTCATAAAATTGGGGTGTGGATGATGATGATGATAAAAATCTCCTTCACAAAAAAATCTCCTTCACAAAAGTGAGGGTTGAGTGAGTGAGTGCACAGAGACCACTTAAAATAGTGACATGCACGCAATAAGCACTGATCCCTGCTAAAGACAGAAAAAGTGGGAAGTAAGCAAAAGGAAAGGGGGAGTTATTAAAAAATTAAAAATTATTTGAATCAGGACCTCAAAAATGGGGGTACAGTACACTTAACTGTTCATCTTAATAAACATCTAAATACAGATAATAAAAGTTTAACTCTCCAAAGTTGAAAATATTTAAAAGTTTCCTTATTTACTCTTAGAGTCACTTTAGAAAAGAAGGGGATAATCAACAAGGTTTATATCTAAGTTTAACAGAAAAGTTAAGCACAGACTCCACGGTGATACAGTAAACCAGTAAGGAAGGAAAAACAGAACCCAGACACACTCTGTATATCCAAGGATTAGCAGCTATGTTATGTGACTTACATCAAGCTTAGGAACACAGAAATAAAATCAACTCAATATTAAAAATTCATTAAAAGGAAGAGAAGCAACCAGATCCTTCTATCCTAGAGTAGAGGTTTCTTGTAAGCATAGAACTTAAATAAGAGAATCATTATTTTAGAAAAGAACAGCTTACCTTAGGTTGTACTATGCTGATTTTGTGTAAAAAATTCTTTATAACCAGACTATCTGTCATCAAAGTTCTGGGCTTTTCATCAACCTGTAACAACACAACAGAAACACCAACCATATACACATAAACCCAAGAGCACAAATGAATTAAATTGTGGTATTTCTTTGTATAAAAGCACTATGCCTTGGAAAGCTTCTCAGCCATTTAAGCAGAAACATCTTTGGAATTGAGAATGGGTCACAAAAAGGAATCTAAATAGCCATGACTTCTTGTATTAAAGTACCTATTTCACGGAACTTCAGGAGAAACGTGGACAAAGATCAGAAAAAACCTACAAACTCAAAACTACCTTTCAGAACAATTTTAAAAGTAATTGAGACTGTAGCTAAAAAGAATAAATATTTTAACTATACCATCCTAATATGTGTGGGGATTATGTTTTAAGAATCTGAGTGGAGTCAAAGGAGCAGACAGTGAAATGAACTTGTTATTGAATGTCAATCCATTCAGGCAAACATTTACTTTTAAGGAAAAGCTACAAAGCAAAAAGCTCAAAAGTTGAAGACCTATGCTCTATACTAGCTCTGTAACAATTATATAAGTAAACACGAAAAACTTTACTTAATTGCTCTAGACCTTATTTCCTAACTGCAAAACAGGGATAAAACTTACCCTTTGTACCTTCCAGAACTGTTTTAAGGATCAAATAATAATGTGAAAGTATGTATTATGGGCACGTATGTATTATGCATAGTAACAAGGACAGATCACAATTGCTGAATGCGGCAGCACTCCCACTGCCCACCAGTGACTATGCAGGTGCCTCTTCTTACCAACTCTCTCCTCTGCAGGGCAGCAGCCTCCCCGCCTGCCCATGGCCTGTACCCTGCCGGGACTTCTCTTCACTGACCTCCCTCAGTGGAGGCAGCTCTCCTCCAGGCCGCCCGCCTGCGACCATGCAGGCCTCTCTCAGCAAACCTGTCCCTTTCCCTTTCCTTAATAAACCTGTTCTTTAAATATACATATTTTAAAAAATTGCTGAATGCTTAATAGGTGACAAGCATTTTGCAAATACTGTATCTATATCATTTCATTACAATCCTGGAAGTAGGAATCTACTCTCTGTAGGCTAAAAGGGAGGGAGGGGGCTCTGAGACATTAAGCAACTTGACTGAAGTCATTCAGCTGTTTAGGGGTAGAGCCACAATTTGACCCTAAGTCTATCTAATATCAATTGTCCATGTTCTTTCCAATGTATTCTGATATCCTCCAAAAATATGAGATTTACATTTAATGAGAAATTTTTCTATTCCTGGAATAGTATTAAAGTATCTGACTTGTACGTACTCATTTACCCTGCACAAAAACACTATTAGTTACATATAACCCACACCTATGGAGGGAAAAAATGAGTCTAAAAGAAATTAACCAATCTGGCTCCAAAGCTTTAATATTTACCACTCTTCTATACTCACTCACTCACTGTGTTTAATATAGTGTTCCTAAAATCAAATTTGAAGGAGTTTCCTAGAAAATGGAGAAGTCCAGGAGAATGAGAAGAGAATCACAAAAAATGGTCCCAGGTCCCAATACCTCATAATACAATTAAAGAGGAAACATGCAAACATCTAATTAAGAAGAATCATTATAATACTTTTTTATAAGTACACTAAAAAAGAGATCAACAACTATTGAGTGGGGATACTTAGAAAAAAATGATTTGAAAAATTATTATAAAAATAGATGGGGATGGTTAGAAAATTCTGGAAACAAGTCCATGATGATTCATACTTGCAAACAGCAGTAATTAAATAGTAACTGCACATACATATCATTGTCACATCATTTAAAATTCTTTATTATAAAATGTTTAGGTTGTAGAAAAGCAATGGTCTCTTTAAAGCAATTTCTGTACTTAACAAACATTTCTAAAACAACCTCTTGGCTCAGTTTCAAACTTCTGTAACCTTGGTGATTATAGGGTGTATCATAGAAAAGGCTAATTATATCTAGCAGTAAGGCAACCAAGTTAGTTAAAGTTCCTTCAGCAGCTACCAGAGAGGGGTTACAACTAATAATGAAAACCTACTGCATGTCCAGCAATTTATGTGCAAGTCAGAAAAGCCCCCATTTTATAGGTGTGGAGAATGAGACTAAATAAGCTATCTGATTTGCCCAAGGTCAAACACAACTAGTTAAGTGGCAGATTTGGGATTCAAACATAGACCTGACTGATTCCTATGTCCACATTCCACTATATAATGCTGCCTCTCTAAATAAGAGTGTTCATTTTCTGTGCACATAGTTATCTAAACCAGATATAATCTTTTTTTTTTTTTTTTTTTTTTTTAGTTTTTCTCTTGGGCAGTACAGGTGCCCAGCAATGGATTTTTTTTTACATCATTGTTCATTTTTAATATCATTATTTTTATGGAGTCTGACAGGCAATGTTTATGCATGACTACTGAAAAAAATGTATTTATTCACTCACTCATGAATACTCAATGTAGCTTATTATGTACCTGAGCCAACAGAGAAGAAATTTTGAATTCTAAATTTAGAGACTTCACAATTCAGTAGAAAAGAAAGACAAGTCATTGATATGACAATGTGAAAAATTTTGTGATTCAGATATATGAGATGCCAAAGAAACATACAGGAAGGATTGACATTTAATCCAGACTATGAATGTAAGATGACCTAACATCAGCCCAGTGGAGGCAGCTAACACAAAGCAAACTGCTCCTTTTAAGATGTACTATTATTAAGAGACAGGGACACTGGCAAAGAAAGTCTTTTATAGTTAGAAACCCAGTAACCAAGGCCTCACAAGCCTATAAAAACAGTGAATTTACTTCTTGTTAGGAAAAAATAGAGGTTGCCAACCCAGTACAGCAGAAACCACTATCAAATAATCACAGGTTTCAGCCTTCACCTTTAAATACAAGTGTAATTATATGATAGATTATGGGAGCTGTTTCATATTTTCAAATATGAAGGCATGCAGTCATGGGCCCTGTATGACAGACAGTATCTGTCTGTCTCTTCCCTCTCTCCCCCTCTGTCCATCTTTCTTTTTTTTTATTTTTGAAGATTTATTTATTTATGCATACAAGAGCTGGGGTACAGGCCAGAGATGCGGGGGGTGAGAGGATTCACCAGAGACAGAGTGGGGAGCAGAACAGGCAGACTGACTGAAATGCACTGCAGAGGGGAGCAGTGGGCGAGACAGGAGAGGTCTGCCTCACCATGTGGGTTGCTCCCTGGCCAGCCGGGGATCGAACTCGTGCTGCAGAGGCTGCAGATAGCTCCATAGGTTGCGTCTTAACCCCTTGTGCCACCAGGGAGGCCCTCTCTCCATCTTTCTTTTAGAAAGATGATTGATAGATGATAGAAATATACAGATGCTTACATGCATATTTTTACCCATTTCACCATTTAATACTATGGCAAAAATATGAAAATGAATCAAGTTACCAAGATCTTATAAAGCCAAATTGTTTTTAGATGGACATGTTATCCAGCCTAATGAACCCCAAGATTCAGGACTGCTCTGAGTATAAACACAAAACCCAGCCTCTCTCCTAAATGAAGCCTTCCTCAGTCTTCCCTGGGATTAGCCCTCCTCACATGCCCATAGCAGTGTTTCACTAGTACAGCTTTTCCATGGATGTCACCATGCCTAGTCATTAGCATGAACCTTGCTACTTGGCCCTACTCCCCAACTAAGGCATGTATGATGAAATTCCTCATCATTTTCCCATTTCTATTCTTATTCTCCTCCTTCAAATATATTTTAAATAACTACACAGAATTAGCGACAACTGAGCTTTCAGGAAATTCTTGTTCTTCTGAGATACCACTTTTATGTCTCCTTATCCATCACCAGTACTAACTGGGCATTAAGTTCACAGTTTTTCTCTGCACTCTAAGCCCTGCTGTCATTTTGGCTGACTGCCACATCCAGGTAGATAACCAGTCTAAACAACAACTTAGTCTCACAATTTCTTGACCTCTACTCATTTTCAGTCATCTATCTCAATGGTCATAGTTTGAAACTGTGCCATTTTAGAAACCTTAAACTGAAACAGTCCATTCTCATGAGAAAAGGCATACCCCAAGATGTCAGCTGTGGTTACCTAGATAAGTCAAATTATGTGTGCTCTAAATGCTCACTTCCCTTTTCCTGAAACATTGCTTTTGCAATAAGGGGGGAAAAAAAGAGCAAGACATTTCATCACTCTGATGACAACTTCCTATTCTTTAAAGTCTCGGAATTCTTGATATGTACAAAAATCTGTTTTTCAATCTCATCAAACCTCTAGACTGATTCCTTCTCATTAAGCTCTGCACCCTTCCTCTGCGCTCCCACAGCATTCAGCGTCCCCCTCTACAGGACACAGGACACTGTCTTGTGATTATCTGTCTATGGGGCATCTTTCCTTTAGATTCCAAGTTTTTTGCAATTAAGTAACATGTCTGGGTGGTACCTTCAATATCTGACTTCAACAACACAGGTTTCTGAAAGAATAAACATTGAAACAACTCTGATCAATGTGAGCACAACTTTGATTTAAACTCCAATTCTGCCACAGAACTTTCATATGACCTTGGGGAAATCATCCAAATTATTTGCATATCAGTTTTCTTATCCATAAAATGGAGTGATGATCCTTGTCCTACCCACTTCACAGAGTTGTCAGGAGGCTTAAAATATATATGTGTGTGTGTGTGTGTGTATATATATATATAATTATTAGGTATAAGAATGAACCGGTTTGTTCAGACTGGCTAAAACACAAGATCTCATTTTCTAGAATTGCTTTCCTTGGTTCGCTGGAATCAGGGCTTTTTTTTTTTTTTTGCTACTTGACATTAATAGTTTCAGAGCTGACTAACCATTAATTGCTCCAGATTGTTCTCCCTTCATTCCCCTAGAGAAGATAAGGCACAAACAGGGATACTGTTGTCCCGATACCACACTCATTCCTTAAAGAAGGAGCATATAACTCTTTGGACATGGAGAAAGGCCTCACAAGTGCTTCTCAGGAGAATGCTTCAAACACTTTAATTTTTTATGCCTCTACCAACTTAAAAGAAGGAAAGCGGGGAATCAGACAATTGTTTTCCTTTTCAAGAGATCCAAATTCAAATAATGGCTTTTTCAGGGGCACTCAAATTTATCTGCACATTAGCAATCAGCTGAGAATTTTAATGTATTCCAAAGCCCAGGATACACGTATTATGAACTGAATTGTGTCCCCAAAATTCATATGTTCAAGTCCAAGCCCCTAACGTGACTATACTTGGAAACAGGGCCTAACGGACATAGATAAGGATAAATGAGGTGATAAGGTGGAGCCCTACTCTGATAGGTTTGGTTCTTATAAAAACAGGAATGGGAAATCAGAGCTCTCTGAACAGAGGCATGGAGGAAAGGTCACTAGAGGAAAGAGCGACAAGGCACCATGATCCTCGACTTCTACCCTCCAGAAGTATGAAAAAATTAATTTCTGTTGGCTAAGATACCCAATCTGTGGTGTTTTTAACAGCAGCTCAAACAGACCTAACCAACACCCTATACCAATGAAATCAACAGTTCTTGGAGTGGGATATAAACATCAGTACTTCTGTAGCTGCCAGGTGACTTAAAATCTGCACAGGCAAATTTGGAAATCAATGCCTTATTTCACCTTAGAACTGTGATGGACTGAGGCTTTTCTTTCTTGTTAACTAGATATGTAGAAAAATAAGAATCAAAACATCCGTAATTTATAGAACCACAAAAAAAAAAAAAAAAAAAAAAACCTGCCTCACAAATCATCTGGACGTTTGATACCCTCGATGTGTCCTGAAAATAGCTGGCTTCTTCTGAAGTCCAATTCAGCTTTGCAGAGAATCCATGCAGCATAGACTGTATTTCTGTGTAAGAAATGGTGACAAAGTAGAACAAGCAGTTTGGATAAGCATCAGAGTATCTGGAATTGTTTATTAAACTAATAAGCCAAGAAGGCTTTTCCCTGATGAAAAGATTACCTGCAAAATTTAAAGTATGACTGGAAATGGCTATGCATCAGCAAACTGCTTGAACATTTATAATTATTTTATGGGCTAAGACATTTAATCTCATGTTTTCAGTTTCTCACATTGGCTAAATCAATTTGTATTTTCAGTTAATTTCTACAGTGTTATATTCAATGCCAGAAATCTTAAAAGTTGGTAGCTTTAGCTAATATTCTTGCATTTTTAAAAATAAATCAGTCCATTATTTAATAAACACAAATCCAGCAAGTGAACTAATTTAGAACTGAAAGCTGAAAAATTCAAGAATGACCCTCTCAGGCATTTGCCCAATATAGTATGTTCTTTAATGAGGTAGTCTTTAACAATAACAAAAAAAGCAGACTCTTGCCAATTTAATTTGTAAATTAGCAACTTGGGGTATTTATATGTGTTGACTCAGAACTATCTTTCCACCAAGCATGAGTGAGCTCTGGATCATCAACAACAGAGAGCAGCTCTGAGCATGCACCACTCTTCTCCTTTATGCACCTGGCATTCACAGTGGAGGGGAGAATCACAGCCCCCATTGTGTAAAGTGCCATCCCTTCTTCCCAGCTATGTTAATATTATGATGAAGAACTGAATGTGAATAAAGATATCTTCATTCTACCTTGTAAATGAGGTTGATTATGATATTATAGTACTCAATTTGAAAGACCTAATAACAATAAAACATACTTTAAGATGCAGGAGACAGCACAACTTTTTCCTGAGGCATTAATACTATCTAACAGAGCTTTAGCCATCTCAAAAAATATGGACATCACCAAGATCAAGTTGTAGCTATTAATCTTTTTTTATATAATATTTTATTTCCCTCTTTTATTTTATTTATTTATTTGTTTGTTTGTTTTATTTATACAAGCACTGGGTACAGTCAGAAGCGTGGGAGGGTGAGAGAATTCACCAGAGCCAGAGCGGGGAACAGAGCAGGCAGAAGGACCGAAGTACACTGCTGAGGGGAGCAGCGGGCAGCAGGAGAGGTCTGCGCACCATGTGGGACCCTCCTCCAGTGGCCGGGGAGCAGCCGGGGATTGAACCAGCGCTGCAGAGGCTGCGGGCAGCTTCGCAACCCAGCGCTCAACTGCTGCGCCACCGGGAGGCCCTGTAGCTATTAATCTTAATGGGCAGTATTTTTCTTGCATTAGTTTTTCAAATATACTTCAGTCACAAAGCTCAGGGTAAGATGGTAGCAAGGTTATGCAGGTGATGCTACACTGAAGTTTAATGTACTTGGCACTGAACCAGGATGCCTTGCGTCAATCTTCCGTTTTACCACTTACTGATTTTCTCACCTAAGGCAACCTGCTTTTCTCTGTGATTCAATTATTTTTTCTGTGAAATAAGAAAATACTGTTTCTGAATACTACCTCAAGAAGTATTACTAGAGTACAAAATGGAGAAAACAGGTATACACGTGACAAAACAGCTTGTAAATAACTTTGAATTCTTCAGAAATCTTAATAATTTAAATTGGATAGCTATTTTGGGGGAAGTCAGTTTCAATTCACTCCAAACACACAGACTCAGATGGACTGACGACTACCCTTAAATGTGTACAGATGGAACAACAGAACTAAATGTATTCTATTTCAAGATAAATTGAGCATATGTTAAAATCTCATCTTCCCATTTAAATTCATAAAGTAACAAAACAAATATATTAAAATCTTAACATGAAGTAATAGCAAGTCATGGTGAAAAAAAATTACAGAGAAATCTTTATAAACCATAAATGGAGAGAGATTCTTTTCTCACCTTCATAAAGGAAAAAGAAAAAAGATCCACAATGGTATTAAGGGCCAAAGATGCACCATTGAGGGGTAGGGGGGGAGAAGACAGGACTGGTAACAAAATGTGGGGCTAATATTAAAACACCCCACAGGCTTAAGAGCAAGAACCCTACAGGCCACAGACAGGAGGTCTAAGAAAGGGACCAAAACATGAACAAAGGCCAGAGATCACTTGGTTGGTTACAGCCAAGTGATGCTAGTAGCAGCAGCAGCAAAGAGGCGGGATGAGGACTAGAGGGCCATCATGTCTCTAAGTGGGGATAAGACTTAAAACTTTATAATCAAAGATGCAAGACCCTTGTGTCTTACTACCCAAGCAAAGTTTGATCAAAGAAATACACCCTTTAGATAAGGACTCAGCACCCCAGGGAGCTCCTTCTGCAAGGCTGTTGGATGCAACCTATGTTCAGGATAAACAGACCCAACAAAGTAGAAATCACCAAACAACAAAGAAATATGAGACACACATCAACCAACAAAATCTACACTTAAGGAAAAAGTTAATTGGTCTGAGATTTTAAAATAAAGTACTTTATATTTTATACCCTCAAAGATAAAAGAAGTCATGAAACAATTCACTGCTACCAGTTAAACAGAAAGTAATGGCAAAAAAAAAAAAAACCCTTAGAAATCCTGAAAATTAATTTCTTCACTAGTTTTACTATCAAATAATATATAATTCTTTTGTGTTCAGTTTTTTTAACTTAGCATAATGTCTATAACATTAATTCATGTTATTGTATCTATCAGTAAGTCATTCCTTTTTATTATTAAATGACATTCCATTGTATGAATATATCCAATTTATTTGTCCACTCTTCTGTTAGACATTTAGATTTTCCCATTTTTGGCTATTTTGAAAAAAGCTGCTATGAACATTCTTTTTAAAATCTTGTTTGAGACATATGTTGTGGGGCAATACCTAGAAATAGAGTTGTTGGGCATGGCGTAGGTGCTGCTTCACAGTAAGAAATTTTGAAACGGTTTCCAAAGTGGTTGCACCACTTTATACTCCAACAGTATTATATCAGAGTTCTGGTTGTTCCACATCCCTGTTAACATTTGGTGTTGTCTTTTTAATTTTAGCCATTCTGGTAGGTTGTGAATTTAATTTGCATGCCCTGATGCTGATGATGTTACCTACTTTTTATGTGCTTTACAGACATTCAGATAGCTTCTTTTTGTCAAGCTAGAACACACAGAGAGTTCTCATATACCCTGACCTCCATACATGCACAGCCTGCCCCACTACATTCACAGTGGTGCATTTGTTACAGTCAATGAACCGAATGAATCAACAGACACATCATTACCACCCACAGTCCCTAGTTTACCTTCTGATTCACTCTTGGTATTAAACATTCTGTGGGTTTTGATAAATGTATAATGACAGGTGCCCCCGCTGTAGTAACTGTACAGAATAGTATCACTGTTTTGCAAATCCTCTGTTCAACTCTCACTCTTCCCTAGTACCTGGCAACCACTAATCATTTTATTATCTCTATAGTTTTGCTTTTTCCATGATGTCATACACTTGGAATTATGCAGTATGTAGCTTTTCAGATGGACTGATAATTGACATAAATTATTTTGAGTGAAATATTTTAAGCCAAAAAAATCCTTTTTAAAAAGGGGGGAGAATATTGTTGGCATATTTGTGGTTCCTTTAAGTGCCCCTGTCTATTCCCAAAGGGGTCTTTATTTTTTGTTTTCTCATTTGAGTTTTAGCACCCACTTAAATTATGATGCTTCCAACCTTGTATGGTTTGCCAGCTTGTCCAGAAATAAGACCACTGCTGAACTAGATACAAATGAGTATTTCAGTACCAATAAAAAAATTAAAACACAGATAGTAAATACTTACAAAAAGATACAAACACAAATTAAAAACTATATATCATTTCATTAACTAGTAGTTGGCTAAAATAATTTAATTGAAATTCTCAATGCTAGGAAAATACAGTGAAATTAGGATCTTCCACTACATGTCATATATATTCTATTACATGACATGCTACTATTACATAACACAACTTTTTTAAATGCAATTTCAAGAGCCATAAAAATATACATAGACTTTGATCAAATTAATTCCACTTCAGGAAATTAGCCCTAAATTTTTAATTAAGTAAAAAGCTATATGCATTAAGATATCCACCCCCAATGACATTAACATTAATTAGCACTTATTGAGAACTATATACTCAGAATAATTACTGTGATACATGTATTAGGTACATTACTTCATTTTGGTATATTATTTCATTAGGTATATTACTTCATTTCCTCCAAACAGCTTTATGAGGCAGGAACTTTTAAAAGATCAAATAATTTCCAAAAAATAAATAGTATGAGTGCCTAACCATTATAATATGCTGCTATTCATGATAATGGAGGAAAAAAAGAAAATACAAACCTACATTTCGCCTAAAAATAGAAATGGTTAACAAACTGATGATACAGCTTATGGACAATCTATCCATTAAATTAGATTAGAAGACTCTGTCATAACATGAAAAATGCTTATTGTTAAGTGCAAAAATATAGTAGGACAAAGTCATGTATATATTGTGGTTACAACTATATTAAAAGTACATCGGGAGAATCTGAAAACAACACAGTAAAATGCCAACATTTATTGTGCAGAAAGTTTTTCCCTTTTTTTTTTCCCTTCCTTTTTCCTTTCCACTTTTCTTACATGGGCTATATATTACATCCATAAGAAAAAGTTTCATTTAAAAATAATTTCTCTAGGGCCTCCCCGGTGGTGCAGCGGTTGCGCACTGGGCTGCGAAGCTGCCCGCAGCCTCTGCAGCGCCGGTTCCATCCCCGGCTGCTCCCCGGCCACTGGAGGAGGGTCCCACATGGTGCGCAGACCTCTCCTGCCGCCCGCTGCTCCCCTCAGCAGTGTACTTCGGTCCTTCTGCCTGTTCTGCTCCCTGCTCTGGCTCTGGTGAATTCTCTCACCCTCCCGCGCTTCTGACTGTACCCAGTGCTTATATAAATAAATAAATAAATAAATCTTTAAAAAAAAAAAAAAGAGCCCATCAAAATCAAATAAATAAA